TAGTTTAATGACTTCAAGGCTCTTACAGTGTTACCTCCTACAGACTCACCTTCGAAGAGGACTGAAGCTGACTAGTTGATAGTACTAGATAGGTAGTGCTGGTAGTTTACTACTACTGCTACTGCCCCCTTCCCGATTTATTAGAGTAACCCCAGTAGTAATTGATACTAGATCATCCGCCACCGCAGATCCTCGAGAAAGGTTATGCATACTTTTTTACTTATCTGCTAGGTCATCAGTGTATGTATCCTCGTGTCCGTGAATCTTCCGACCTACTATAAGCTCTCCCTCTCTATTCTTCTCACAGCCACCGGAAATTCAAAATAATCTGACGGACTGATCGGATCGCGAAGCCATCATTTCCATTTCTTAAATTGTCCGGTACGGAGGAGAGGGGAGGGGGAGAAAGAGGCCCACCGGGGTGGAATTTGTCCCACCCGTCATTTTCGAGGCCAGTGTTCGCAAGGGGCAGCTGTGGGTGGCCGTAGTCCTGGTAAGTGCGACGTCGGTCATCGGGGCGCTCTTTAGCGTGCCGTCGATCCAGGCGGGAGGTGGACCGAGGCCTGCTTCACTTCAGTTTCCACCTCACCCCCTCCTTTGCGCCCCATTTCAAATTCGCAACTGCATATCTTGTCTTTCTTGTCAATGTTTGAACGGGTACAGTGAGTCGGAATTCGTGTGAGGTGCTAGCTGAGCTCTTCAACCTGTACAACCCCCCCACCCCTAGATCTGTGCAGGTATTGCCCGCCTACTCCTAGCAGCTGGTGCATGTCAGAGCGAACCCTGAATATGTCGAACGTGCTCGTTCCTCAAGTGCTCCTTCAAATTTCCACAGTCGCGTGTGCCTGACGCTCGGATCAGACCTCTCAAAAGCTTCCCATTTTTTTCAGAGCTTTATGCGATACATAGAATGCAACGTTGATGATTCTCTCGGCTAAACTTGCAAACCTTCGGTCAACCTAATATAGGGGTGCTCCTGCACGACATACCACAATGGCCACACATTTAAACTCCTCAAGCTCCCGCCCACAATTCACCAACCCCTGGTCGGACTCTCCATCAACAATATCAGAGCCGTCTGTTCATACCCCTGATAGCCGGATTGCGCATACGTTGACTGCTTGTACGCGGTGCAGACATGTACGTAGTGTCTCTTACTCTATCGCTGACTTTGTTTATACGTGATTCCGCGTTCTCTACCATGTACTCCTTGATTTATCACGCTGGCTCGAAAACAAAAAGTTTCTAACTCTTATACAGCGTAAATCTAGGTGTGATCCCGGAATCCCTCGATGCTCACCATGCGAACGCGTCAACGCCAAGTGTGTCTTTTACGATTCGGCGTCTCAAAGGACATTATCAAGGGATCATATTGTCTCGCTCCGAGAAAAAGCTCGTCGGTTAGAGAGCGAGCTTGCTGAAGTCGAGAGACAGTTTCAACATGCAGCGGACGCGGAGCTCATGGTGCGCGGGGCAGGTCGCATTCGCTTCAAGGAGAATGACGAGTCGAGATATTTGGGACCGTCCAGCGGTATTGCGATCACGCGCCTCGTTATGGAACTGGCCAAGCAAAATACAGATTCCAAAAACATCAAAGACGTCGTTCCTGAAATGACAGCACAGGAGATAAAAGATGCCTTTGCACAAGAGAGCTCCAAGCCAACGTCAAAGGTGTATCCCATGATCAGTTCGACGCCGCAGCCTACTTTACCACCAAGACACATAACATACAGACTTATTGATGTCTTTGTAGTCAAGGGTACGTTCGCATTCTATCCTATGCAGCTGTACAGTCATGGTTGACTTGCCGTTTAGCCCAGGCAATGCTTCCGACCTTGCACGAGCCTACCTTCCGCGAAGAAGCCGAAGAGGTGCTTAACGGGTCTAATGATCCCTGCCATAATTTCCAATTACGCATGGTGATAGCTATCAGCATGCAAAAGATGAGCACTATTTACGCAGGCTTGGCGGACAGTTATTACCTTGCGGCGCTGCCATACTTGGAACCGTCGTTAAAACGAATGGACCTTCGATCTTTGCAATGCCTTGCCCTGATTGCTCAATACTCCATGCTCACGCCAACAAGGACAGCGGCATATTGGGTCGTAGGAATGGCAGTCAAGTTATGTCAAGACTTAGGGCTTACCGATGAAGCGACCATTACTCAATCTCCCAGCGGGCAGACCTTGAACCCTCTAGAGATTGATATGCGAAGAAGACTGTTCTGGATTGTCATATCCATGGAGTACGGTCTTTCCCATAGCCTTGGTCGCCCGAATTGCTACTCCGTTTGTCACGATCACATCAACGTCAAGTTCTTCGAGCCGGTGGAGGACAAGTATATCACTGCGGATGGCTTCCTACCAGGAGCAAAAATAATCCTACCCAAGTGCATAGCTATTCACTTCCTGAAGATGCGGCTGCTCCAAGCAGAGATTCGACGGACGCTCTACCTGAATAAGCGCGATGTACCAGTCGACGACCAAGACCCATGGTTTTCGCAAATGCTTCAGAAGATCGATTACTGGGTAGCTTCGTGTCCCAAAAATGATGGGGGTAGTGGCTTGAGTCAAAAATGGTAAGGACAATTCCCGACTAGCTTCTTTGTTTCTGGGTGCTTATCTATATGTGGCTTTCAATAGGTTTCATGGAAGACGAAACACGATGATTGTCTTTATGTTCCGGCCTTCTCCCCAAGTGCCGGAGCCTTCCGTTGAGGCTGCGCGAAAATGCTATGATGCGTCCGTATTCAACGTAGCAATGCAGAGAGAACAAATCGCAACAGGATCCGTTGATTTGACATGGATTTTCACCCAGTCACTTTTCATGGCCTTGAACACTATTTTATGGTCTCTCTCTTATCCTGACATTCGCAGAGAACACCCTATTGACGAAGTCAAAGGTCACCTCGGCGTGGCCCTGGAGGCTATTGTTCTTGCTGCACAGAGATGGCCTGGTGTTGAATCGGCCTTGGTACTCTATAGGAGCCTGGTTGCTGCTTGCCTTCGCGCATATGCTACCGAAGAGTCTTTCGTCGTCCATTCGCCGTCTAATCATGCAACTCCGTCATCTTCGCAGGATGTCACGACACCGCTATCCGTCTCTAGCCCTGCAAGTACGTCGGCATCATTCCCCTCACATGGAGCTCGCGCAGCGAATTCTTCAATCCCCGAAAGCAGCGTATCGGGTGGCACATTTTCGAGGGGACCTTCTGCAGACCCCTCATTCTCCTTCTCCCAGGGGTCGACCTCATCACCTATTGCCACTGAATCACTGCAGGCCGCGCAGCACCCATCCTGGGATGCTCAACTCACTCCGCAATCCGTATCAACCACCACACAACCCTCATTCAGTTCCCCCCAATCCTACAATGTACCGACACCTTCCTACGCAGACTTATCGTTCGACCCGACAACTCCATACAATTCTTTCCCATCCGTCGTTCCGGGCTTGCCAGGCTGGGATCCCAATTTCAATTTAGCGTCCACGACGGCTAGTCATCTAGCCTATGTCGATGCGACGGTCGATCCCATGAACTGGATCGAGACGATAGGAGATCAATATTCCCAATACACCAATGGCGCTTACCCCATGCCCCCGTGGCGAGGAAGGACGCTCAGCCACCAGGAGCAGATGGAACTGATGGAAACGTTAGAAGACAACATTCCTGACGTTTCGGCGCAGTTATTAGTGCAAGAATCTGCAACATTCTACCAATCGTGACATGTTCATGTTTTTTGAAAGCTTTCTATGAGGGCGTCTCGCTCTTCTTGATTCAGTCATATCAGCGTGTTTCTTGAGCTTTCTTTGTACGGGCCATCTTCATCTGGTTCGTTTCTTCTTATTGTGTTACCATAATAATTTTGGATTTATGGATCTCAATATACCCAAGGGTCATCGTGTTGGGAATTTGATGAGGTTCATCTGGGTGTTTGGAGCGAGTCGGTTCCGATCACTAGTTCGGGATTCAAGGGTTCAATCAAGGGTTTTGGTAGAAGAGTACAAGCTTATTTTATTCTGTCATTAGGTGTTGACATGGCTTAGGGGTCAAAGAGTGGCCACAAAGCCCTCTCGCCTCAGGCAGGTCAACTGCATATTCTATAGATGGGACAAGTGTAGTTATGGTTCTAGAAGCAAGGAAATTTCCGGGTGAAACTATGCAATAACCCCAGGTAATACTTTCCGAGGGGCGGTGCTCTGCCACTATTTTCTCTCCTGGTTTAGGCCAGCGCCCAACAGGGGGGTATGAGAGACGCTAGTAAGGCGCTTTGTGCCCATGCGTGTCGTGGCATACATGGATCACATCCACGGGAAGAAATGTCTAGATGGCCAAACCTGCGATGGCCAACAGGATGAATACGGTAAGCAGGTAGTTAGTTGACCTGGTCTCGAAAGACAAGAAAGAGTGAGGGAAGAAAAAGAGGGAATGTCCGTTACCGATGCATACTCCGTATCTTACCCGACAATACGCCCGAGTATCGGTATTGTTAGCGCGTATTGATACCGAAATACGGGCGCGGAGGCCGAAAGAGGGAAGATCGAAGAAATGAGGGCGCGTCACGTGCCCATCCCGGGGCTCTTGCCGTCATCCAACATCTCGCCGTCCGTTTCTCCTCCAGTTGCGGACCAAGGGTTTCCCATCCCAGCGCTTTCTCGAACTTCTACCCACCCCGCCAGAATTCGACCTAACCCACAGACCACGCCATTCACTCTTTCGCTGGTCTTTTCTTCACTACCTGGTGCTGTTCGATATTTCACCTCAGTGCTGTGTCGCTTCATTGGAATGTGTGACTTTTAAGACGGTCGTGGAACGTCCTGCTCGCCCGCTTGAGCGCACCTCGACCGGCGTTTCCCCCCATATCCTCGTCTTGATACTAGTCTGAATCTGCTGTGATCTGCTGCTGTGTTGAAGATCTTCGATTCAGGTCTCCCTTTCGCGAGGCTCGGGCTGCCCAGGCTTAGGCCAACCTCCTCTTTCGTCACCCTGCACTCCGTCCTCGATGTCTGATCGCGCCTCCTCGGCATCATTTCGAGTAGGACCTCCATCACCATCGTCTCCCGCCGCAGGAGCTCTCAAACAGAACCAGTTGCCAGCTCCCTTGTCCGATCGAATTCCACAGACTCCGACATCACCTCCGTTGATGTCGGTAAGCGCCCAGAACTATGCCACCAACTTTGTATCCTCGCAAGCATCACCTAACCAGGCGACCTCTCAATCCGCAACTCTCTCATCACCCCCGTCTTCCGCTCCGATGTCCACTCAAGCCTCGCAACAACCGACGGTAGGTACGGCGAATTCGTTTCCGACGCCGGCCAGCAGCGTGAGCGGGCACTTCACGGGTGCGACTTCCTTCGATGATTCTGAACATACAGAGAAGCCAATGGGCTCGGCAGCTCCAGACACAGGTGCGCAAGCAGCGAATATGAATGCCGCGGCCATACAGCAGGCGCAACACAGACGGACAGATCATGACCGGCATACAGAAGGTATAAATATGGAAGTTGGAGTCCGCGATTTTGCTGCGAACAACGGAGGCGACGCTATGGATATCGATAGTGAGGCGCCGGCTTCATCCAGTCGCAGTGAGCCAAGCTTGGAATCCCTGCAGAAGAACTTTTCGTCTGCCTTTCATGTTTGCAAAAGCTGTAAGAGCTCCCCAGTCCTTGGCATGGCTGTTGCCACAATTTGCAATGCACTCTCTCCCATCTCATTTTTGGATTGAGCTTTGTTAACACATGTGGCTTTATGAACGTACAGCCCATATTGCGACTGGACCGGATCCGTCGCTAGATCTCATCTCACTCTACGGATTAGGTCCAGTGGCAAAGTCTGTTGCTCGGATGGATCCTGTAACGGGCGAGAAGATCAACAGGCTCAGGAAGTCTTATGAAGGAAAACTGAAGGGCTTGGGACTCGCAGGGAGGAACAAGCCAGTGAAGACTGAGCCTGGTGCGCCCGGCAGCCTTAGGCACATGACCATGTGGCCAGAGGAAGAATGGCAAAACCAGAAGGTGTTCGGGAAGGAGATCAAGGTAGCGGACATGGACTCTGCGCTGCATAACTTGCAGATGAGGGCCATGAAAATGGAGCCGGGCACGGTACCGAACAATGAGTATTGGGAAGATGTGCTGGGCCACGAGAAGCCATCTAAGCACGCCGGTGGCGACGCCAGCAAAAAGGGCGTCGCACCCCCTCCCAATGGAGTCCGGATTTCCCAACCGAATGGAACCCCAGCGCCTGTTTCAGACCAAGAGCGAGCCCGGCCTAGCAGGGGACGTAAACGGCATTACGACGACAACAGCTTTGTTGGATACGGCGAAGGTTACGCAGACGACGATGACGATGGGGCATTTTATTCAAACAGTGAAGGCATGGGAAAGAAAAAACGGAAGAAGGTAGGGCGTTCGGACGGTGAAATGGCATTCTAACATACTGATCACATTCGCTTATTTTTCGAAAAGGACCACGTTTCGAAGATATCTACCCCTCTACCTGACCGAGGTGGAAGTTACGGGGTTGGTATGTTTGGGATCGGGGCCAGGTAAACGAACGGGACGGAAACCTGATGGGATGAAAAGCTTTGTGGCTTGTTCGTTTCTTTTCTCTGCCTTCTTGGCTTTGCTTCATGCATAGGGTCCTTGTTCTAAAGGTGAGGGCTAGACCTTTGTTGGATCTGTGTCTGGCATTGTGAGTTGCTGGACAGGTTCAGCAGACCCATGGTCATGTCCTCGCCATATCTGTTAATTCTCCGTACAAATTTTGCATCACGGTGCTGGATATACCCGGCTTTCACAATGGGACGGCGTTGGAGGAGCCATGATTTGTTGCGGCACGGTTTTTGCCTGTTTCTTTGCTTGCACTCTATTCTGTCTATGTGCTTCCTGATTGACAGGGAGCTGGAGTTGTAATGACAATTTCTTTTTTCGCTGTGTTTACTGCTGGCCATGTCGACAGACTCCGATGCCAGCTTTTGAGCTTTCCTTCTCTCTTGTGCCAGATGGACCGTCGCCCGCCACTGGAAGAGCATGTATTTCTTTTATTCGAGTCTGTTGATGTGCGGCGGATTGCTTGGGCGTGATAGTACAGGATCCTAGCTTAGCATCGACGATGCTTGTGTGATACAATACTAGATGGATAGGAATGACATCTACGTTAAACGTGGGTAGTTCAGTCCCATCATGGATAATAAATAAGAGCTGGAAGCATAGAAGCAAACCACTGCAGATTCCCTTGACACCCACCCTCACCCATATGTACTCCCCCTTACTACCAGTAGATACAAACCCATACTATCTACCCAACACCTCCCTCTATACCAAGTAGAGAATTGCACAAGAGATGAGAAAAATAAAAAAGGAATTACCCAAACCAATACCCATTCAGCTCCTCCAAAGTCCTCTCCCCAACATCCTCATGCCGATTCTCCTCCCATACTTTCCCTCCCTCTCCAAACCGATTCGCCATATATCCCAGAAAGAAATCCAGATTCTCCCGACACTCAGGGAACGTCTCTTTGAAGGTATCATATAGCTCTTGCACGGAAGGTTTGCTGCTGCTGCTGCTGCTGCTGCTGCTACCACTATTACCACTTCCAGAAGCATAGGTGACTTTCTCCTCAAACAGGCGTAGATAGCGTCTCGTGTGCTCTAGATCCGCCTTGACATCCAACTCCCATCCGTGCTCCATATGGCCTGGGATAATCTTCAATGGGTGTAGATGATCGATCATGTCGAGGGTTTTGAGCCATGCGTGTACGAGAGCGGGGGATTCGAGTTCTTCGACCATATAGTATAGTATATGTTCGTAAGTAAGTAAGTAGTTTCAGAATGTACTAGATAGTAATAAGCCAGCCAATAACTCTCATCCAGGATACCCCTTCCGAAACCTTATCCAACAACCTATGGATGGATAACTGGAAGTGAATTCCGCCAATCCTTCCCCCAAAAAGAAACAACAGAAAAGGGAGGGAGGCGTTAGGGGGAAAACAAACCAAACATGCACACTCCTCCCAAACACAACATCACCCGCAACCACCGTCCTACTTTCCGGAATCCAGAAGACCGTCTGATCCACACAATCACCCTGCACCGGACCCAACAGCACAACCGGACTCCCATCCAGCATGAAGAAGCTGGACAAGTACGGGTCCGGCTTGCGGGGCTTAGCGGGAACGGCGTCCGACCCGAGCACCGCCGGCCAGTATTTGACTTTCTGGTCGTATTCGGCGTTGATGCGGGAGCAGACGTAGGGGGCGGCGTAGAATTTGGCGTTGGGGAAGGCGGCTAGGATGGGATTCGCGGAGAAGAAGTGGTCTGGGTGGTGGTGAGTGAGGAAGATGGCGGAGGGGGCGTGGGGAGTTAGGGATTTTATCCAGTGGATGGTGGATTCGGCGTCTGTGAGGAGGAAAGGGGGGTCTATGAGGAGGGATGCATTGGGGGTGGTGAGAAGGGTGGTTATGGAGGAGAGGCCTTTGGGGGTGGAGGTGTGGTGGTGGGTTTGGATCATTGTTAGATTTGAATTGGGGGTTTATTGAGGGTGTTAGTTGGGTGTATATTGGGGTGGATTTGGGTTTATATAGACTTGTACTGTATATGCAATGCTCTGGTCTGTTGGTCAATTATTACAGAGTGAGTGCTGGATTGGTTCTATCCGTGATAGGATACACCCCCGCACGCAGTAGCAGTTGCATCATATTGATTTGGGGTGTTTTGAGACCCTCTGTTGTTCGATGCCGAGGTTGATACGCCTGTCAAAACTGCCGCTCGTTGTACCGATTGTTTGAAAGATGAAGACCAATCAATCCGTATTTCCGAATTGCAATCGGAAGCTCCGGAAGCTGAATCTTGCAGCATATCCTGGCTCATCCGTGCTATCAAGATCCGCAGTGGAAGCGGGGTTGGCGTGATGTACCAGACTATTATTGGACTTTGCCACATCTCTGGAATAGATTAAGTACCCACCTTGTGTATGACCCCGCAGCTATCAAGAGAGTCCGTGACACTGTTGGTATGAAGATAAAAGGTGAATTACGCAGTACGAAGCGTAGATAGAAGATGATTGTAGAAGGTTGGCCGGCCGATCCTATCCCGCTTTGCACTAATGGATAGTGGCAGCTTGACTTGCAATAATACTTAGCTCTCCGTCTCAGCGGTATACTTTGTTAATCAAAGGGGAGCTGCCTATCTTAGCTCTTTCTAGGACTGCATTGTAGCCATAAATTATATGCATAATATGGCAGATTGGCGGGAGGTAGGAGTAGTAGGGATGTTTGCTGTGGTAGCTACTGGGGCTAGCTAGCTTGATTATGATACCTGCACACATGGTCGTCCCCATGCTTCGCCTATACATTATACACTAATACCGGTGTGAGCTGTCCTTTCGCTCTAGCATTAGATGCTAATATCTAGTCGAATTATCGCCGCCGTTCTGCATGGATACTCCATAGACAACGGCACAGTTCCCATTTAGTGGCAGAAGTGCCCTAACCGCCAGGCAACTTGGGTCTTGACTCCGGTACATACGTTGCTAACAGCTTATTGTCCAGAAAGCATGTTTTAGGCTTTTTGACCTGATACTATTGACCCGATTTAGGCTCATTTCACATACATTGTCTTCGAGAGTACTCGGAATAGTTCGTGAGAATCTACCGCCGAGCTACAAGAGGTGCTTGAAAAGTTCCATCCTAAAGAGTTGAGTGTGGACTAACGGCGTCTTCGAGTCATGAAAATAAGCCAGTTTTTGATATCCTCTCTGCGAATAAAGATCGCTTCCAATTCAGGTAGCTGACTCCATGTCTACCAAAGCTATGCATGCATTCAAAAGGGTAGGTAAATGCTCAGAACCCAAAGCATCGGAACACGATTACACAAAGGAACAAACATAACTACTTCTAAGCCCTAAAAACAGCTACATCTCCGCGGACTCTCCCCCAGCCCTATATCTCCCACATGCTATACCTCAATAACTCAATATCAAACTCACCAAAACCCAACCTCCCATGTGGGGTGTGATTCCTTATCGCTTATCAGCATACCCCCACCCACCTTCACATACCCAGAAAAGAAATGGAACCCACCCAAATGCCGACCCGCCAGCCAATCCCGCAGCCGGTATTTGATGCAAGTGCACCTAACCGCAAGGCAACCCCGAGGTCGGATTCGCATAAAATCGATAAGTCATAACCTAACTACAGCGTTTCTCTTACAGATTACTCCTGTACAAGTCCAACCTTTTTACATTTCCTATACATATATTTTATATCTACATACATATATACGTCCACAACCCTTCCGATCCAATTGCCTATAAAGAATTCAATATGGACCCCCTCACAACCGCCCTCACTCGAATCGACGCCCTCCACTCCGAAGACCCCACGAAAGTCTCCAACACCGACATCCCTTACGAACTACACTACGCCGAGAAAATGACCAGCTACCTATACAAACACACCCCGGACCCCTCCCCGACCCTCCAGCTCGCTATCCGCGCCCAGCATCTCAAGCGCTGGGAGGTACCCCGCAGTACTTACCCCGATGGTAAAGTAGGGTATTATTCCTGGCGGACGGCGGTGGCGCGTCGCCAGGCTGAGATAGCGGTGCAGGTGTGTCTGGAGAGTGGAATTGGAGAAGCGGAAGCGGAGCGCGTGGGTCGGTTGATTCGCAAGGAAGGGTTGAAGGGAGGGGAGGATGCGGAGGCACAGATTTTGGAGGATGTGGCATGTTTGGTGTTTTTGGATGATCAATTTGAAAAGTTCAAAGAAAACTATGAGAGGAAGAAGGTGGTGGAGATCTTGAGAAAGACCTGGGGAAAGATGTCGGAACGGGGGAGGGGTTTGGCATTGGAGTTGCAGATGGGGGAAGAAGCAAATGATTTGGTCAAGGAGGCTTTGATGGGTTAGATTCCGGTTCATATCTATTTGTTTTACACAGGACTGTTTCTTTGTTTATAATTATTTTTGGATATCTTTTATTAAAGTTAGAATTTTTTATTTTTTTTTTTTTTGTGGTCAAAGAGCCGCTCTATGGAATGGTGATCGTGGTATCTATTAATGTACAGTCGTTATGGCATGAGATAATGGGATGGTTTAACTTTTGGAGTTGGGAGATTACGCTCCGCCGGTGTCGATCAACCGGACCAAGGCAATCGCTGCTCCGGCTGCTACTCCGCCCACGAAACACATTTGTATTCCTCCCTTGATGCCTGCGACAACGTTGTCGCGCCCGGACCAGCCGCGCACCACACATGTCTTGATGTATCCGAAGGCCAGCAGCGTGATTGCCATGACTCCGATGCTCATGTACAAGGCCACGATCACTTGGTCGACGATGAAGTATGGGATGAGCGGGATGAAACCACCGACGAAGTAGCCCAGCGCGAGTGTGATGGCGGAGATCCAGGCCTGATTGCAGTCAGGCTCGGATTCCTTGTGGTGGAAGCTGACCAGGAAGTCGAGAAGGCGGTCTTCAGAGGAGTGGAGGGACATGTTAATCTGGTTGACGACATCTTCAGGGAGACGGTAGGAAGCGAAGATGGATTGAACGATGGAGCTTGTTTCGGCTGGTGATGTGTCGATGAGTTCTTTTGCTTCACGGACGGTGGTTTCGTAAGATTCACTGTTTGCTGTTAGGATTGATTGAGAGATACAGAGTCGAGTAGGAAACTCACGCTTCGCTCTTCGCACCGACATATCCTCCCAGGCCCATGGAAATGGCACCCGCGGTCAATTCGGCCAAACCACCAAGCACAACGACTTTAGTGTTTCCCAGCGCCGAGAGACCAGCACTCAGCGCAAACGGTACCGTCAAGCCATCTGATAAACCTAGAATGGCATCGGATACAATGCGTGGGTTGATTCGAGATCGCGAACTGCTCGTGCTGGCGGCGGTGCTGTCGGTGTCGGAAACAGGAGATGAGGCGCGGAAGGTAGAGTAAGACCGTTGAGCTTCGAGATCTTGCTCGGTCGGCAAAGCATCGGAATCTTCATTGGAAAGCAGTGGTTTGCCTGGTTTTGTCAGTTCAACTCGTATTGAATTATCCATTGGTAGGCGAGCGTACCATATGGAAGGGCCTGTTTTTGCTTTTCGCTCGGGAAGAGCTTCTGCTTCAGAAATAATAGCGCCATTGTAGATTGACTGGGCTGCTGCGGGCTGCCTCAGGCCTGACGTCAGAAGCCGGAGTCGGTGGCCGAATCTAGACCCTCTTAACAATTCCGGTAAGGCTGAGGGATTCTCGAGAGACGGCGAAGCAGGACGAGACAATCAAAGTCCAGGCGTGATAGAAAGAAGCTTGATCGATTGAATTTGTTCTGGATGACGATTTCAGCTAGAAGAAAAAACTTCTGGAAGCACTGATATTTATAAGAAAAGTCCCCTTGTGGCAGCCAGAATCGACTTTTTCTGATTATTCTCCAGACCCTTCCAGCTGCCTTGGCGCGGGCCAATCACAAGCGGCGTAATTGTCAGCGGGTGTAGATCTCGGCGCAAAGCTCCAGCAGCCCCTCGGGGTTAAGCCAATACACCGGTATTGATTGGCTTTCACAAAGCACCGCTGACATTTACCAGGACACTGACTGGCCAACTGCAGCAATGCTGCTGCTCGATTACGCACTCGGATGCAGACTGGTCGGTCTCCGATGCGGATAGAGAGCAGTCCGAGGAGGGGAATACACCGAATTCACTAGCAAAGTAGGTGTGGCGATGCAGCTAACATCTGACCAGGAGGCCAATGCTCAACACCAGTGTGAAATTTTTAGGGTGAGACGCGGCACGCTGTGTAGCATTGTGCACTTGTCTGTTGTTGCTGCACTACTGAGCAAATTGACGTAAGTGAAGGGCGATCTGTTTTAGGGGCTTCGCCTTCATAGCTGTGCCGTGTCCATGGAGCTTGGCTTCGATGGAGCCAATCTTTCGACAATCACTGTAATGGAGCTTGCCAGTTCGGGTTCTACGTTCCATGGCTGGGATTGAGAGAAATCTTGGGAGAGATACCGAGGATCGGCCAGACATCTCTCGTGAAACTGCTTACTTGGGCTTATTACTCAGAATAACTATACGATGAGCGTTGGAATACTCTCAATATTTGGGATTTCGCCCTGATACTCATTAAATCCACCTAATGAAGATCACTAAACGTTCTGACCCGCCTTCGACCGGTTTCACTAAGGGCAGGTCTGAGCCGAAGGCCGCGATCAGCAAGAGCGCCCACTATTCTCTCGGGTTTAGGTCATTAAGTTTGCGATGCTTCATTACCAGTGGAATAAGCTTACTTAGCTCCGCACTGCAACCCCTAATATAGGGTTCTGGAAACAAGAAGAAGATTTTATCCGCATATGAAAAAGTGTTGACTAACAATCATCATCAGTATCCTTCAGTCGATGACCGAATCAGATGTTCTCAAGTACTAGTACCCGAGTAGTGAAGCGTCAGACTAATGGTCCAGTCATTTCCAGTGTAGTATGTACTTATAAAATGGCGTGACTGCTATAGCTAAGCCTCCTGTGCCTGGATCGTCCCTGATCAGTTGATGATATATAGTATGTTTTGGAGGAATAGTATGGACTAATAATGAGCATTTTTCAATTTACTGGCTTCCTACACAGTAGTATATGATATTAGGAATTATGTCTCGGTGTGAGGTACTCCATGTCAATAACAAATCCTTCTATGCCTGCCAATCAATACTCTTGCCAGTATACCCAACTTTAATCCAACATGGCCAAACCATACGCAAGCCAACCACTATATCATAGCATCGTCCTACCAGTACTCTTGAGCACCCCACGGCAGTGCTCGTGCAGGACATGTCCACCAACCCCCACACGTTAGGGCTGTGGAATATTGCCCACCGTATGTTTCATCAGACGCTGGAAGGTCAGATTGATGGTCTTATGGCATCAGCAATCTCACCTGGCGGCCAGATAATTTCAACTAGGTCTGATACAGGTATATTGAGGTTGTAGAACACAGCTATGAGTATGGCAGTGCAATCCCAAATCAAAATGTGTGAGTTTCCTACCAGATTCCTAGCCTTTTCTCCTCATGATGACCTGCTAGCATCGTGCTCTTACCTTGGCGAGGTCAAAGTGTGGAATGGAAGACCTGGTTCGCTAGTTCACAGTCTCGAGAACTTTTACCCTTTGTCAGTAGAATTCTCATGCAATGGTGAATTAGTCGCCTCTTGCGGCTGGGATGGCACAACTAAACTCTGGAACAGCGCTTCAGGGAAGTCAGGGCATCACCTTAATCGTGTTTATACTTTTTCATTCTCTCCCAATGGCGAGCTAATCTCTGATTGGGGCGATGGCATTGTACGCCTGTGGGATTCAGGGGTCGGCTATGGAGACTCAACCTCTGTTTCCCATACTTCCTCAATTCTTTCTATTCATCCCTTGCCCCGTAACTCCAATTGGTCATGCTTGATGGCGCAACCCTCTGGGAATTTCCCACAGGCACTCCACAGAACCAGCTCGAGGCTCTCAAAAATCCCAGTACTGGCCCTGAATTCTCTGGCGACGGCCGCCTTGTTGCAGCATTTGCGGAAGAAACAATCATGATTTGGGACACAGGCAGTGGGAAATTTATTCGGGCGTTGGAGTTGGATATTGGAAATTCAGATATTGAGTATTACGCCAGTATAAAGGCTGCTTTCCGGCCGGATGGTAAGGTCATTACATGGACCCCGAAACCCTACAGTTCCAAATATAGGACCCATTTTCGGGGAAGCAAATTGAGACTTTCAATGGCTCGGTTGAGCTGAAATCATTTGATGTCTCCCACGGTGGTCACCTGTTAGCTGTCACTGACCGTACGAAAGTCGGCATTCGTAAACTTTCAACAAGGAAGCGCATCTACCTGGAAATTTTATATGATTTAAGAATGAGAATGGCTTTTTCGCCGAACGATATGACCCTTGCTGTGCTTTCCAAGAGCTGGGGTAAGCTCACCTTAGATTTGTGGGATGTGCTATCGTGTGACATGCATTGTTCCATCGATGGTGTCACTGGGCGCTACATTCAATTTTCCGAAAATGGCAATTATATGAGCACGGTGCATGAGCTATATCACTTAGAGACTGACACTGAGGGCCATCCGGTCTTTCTATCTGCTGTTGACGATCAAAAAAAGGTGGAGGATGGATGGGTCTGCCTCGGCAAGGACAAGATTTTATGGCTTCCTATGGAATATCGACCAGTGGAAGGTTTCGAGGGGTTCCGTATAACAGATTCCACACTTATTTTAGGATCCCATTCAGACCGTCTTCTATTTATTTGTTTTGACATGCAGGCTAAACGAGATGCTGTTGAGATATTCACTCCAGCCAGAGTCAGCGGAACATTCACCTCCTCTTCTTCCTGCGTAGTCTCTGACCACCACCTCGTTCAACAACCACCCATCTTCTTGAGATCCGGATAGATCCAGATCCATACCTTTGACCCTTCTTCTCGACAGTATATATACATATTCCCACTACAACCAATCTACAAAACAATCGCCATCCCCAAAATCCCCGCAGCACCCATAATACCCGCCATACCCGTCGCTTTCGGAGCCGCAGGCCCAGCACCACCATGCGAAGACGAGGTGGAAGGCGAAGCCGTTTCAAACGCCGTCGAAAAGTACGATTTCACATCCCCATTCAGACTACTGTACCAGGACGGAATGATTCCATTCTTCCATTCACTCGCGACTGATGACCAAGCTGTCGGGTTCGTCATCTCGGAGATGACAGAGGTCGGAACTTCAGTGATGAGGTCGGATCTGATGGAGGTAGGTACATCAGGGAAGAGGGTGGGCATTGTGGTGGTGGTGGTTGTTGGGTTGACTCTATTAGTTTGGTGGCTTGTTAGCTAGATATAGATGGGGTTGAGAGTAAGGAATGTGTAGGTATGTAGGTAGGTTTACAGGTTACTTAGAGGGTTGGATAAGTCTGAGTCGGTGTTGTCGTCTCGCTTTTCGATGGCCGGGTCGGAATCTGGGGTTGCTAGTGCTAGGGTTGATAGAAGTAGGACAGAGAGAGTTGTGAAGCGCATTTTGGTTTGTATAATAGTAAGGTATAGTGATAGGTTCGGGTGTGATTGGTAGGTTTATCAAGGCCAGGGGGTAGGGGAGTATGATGTTTGAAGAATTGGAAGAGGACTGTGGGAGAAGTGAGTTATATATTCAGGCTACTATCTATCATTGCCTTCTATGGACTACTTAGGCAGCCTCACTGCCTGCCATTGCACGTTATAAGATAACTCCGAGCCAAAAGCAGCGATCTACGTTGTGGCCAGACACCGGGACCTGAATTTGTAGCAGTGCATACCAAATTTGGAGAGGAAATAGCACCTCTTCGTACTCAAATCTGCTTCACTGTAGACTTGTATCATAAATATAATGATAGAGAAGAGAGAAGAGAGAAGAGAGAAGGAAGGCAGATGCCATGCGTGGTAAATCGTAGGCATCTACTCCGCAGAAGCGGCTCAGCTGCGCCGTTGAGGGGGGTGTGGTTGAGTTGATCCCAAACACAAGGCTCTCCAGCTCGTAACATTAATGACGTAGACTTTAGCATTATAGAAACTCCGTCGTGCAAAATATGCTTAACCATACGTAGTGGGCTTCTAGTTGCAAATCGGTTACACTGAAGTACTCCGCCAGATGGTGTGTTGTTGGGGCTGGCCGATAGCCGATCTCGCTGTAAGAGGAATAGGAGGGGCCACCCTCGACTGCCACTAGGAGTATCTATTCGCCTTCATTTTTTTCTTCTTCTATTCCACCTTATTCTTGAGCATTAGAGCATAACTTCGAGTGCTAATAATATTTCAAATGGTGGCTTATGCTTGTTTTTGCTTCTTTCTTCTTCCTTTTATTTCAAGTTGCATATTACTTCTTCCTTGTGGCAGAGCTGCGCTTCCCATTGAGTTAGTACTATTGCTGACATGCCAGGTTAAGGCGCATATGCCAGAGGACAATCCGTGCCATTCTGACGATTAGCCGACGAGCATACACAGCAGACACTGCTATCTACCGTCCTTGCCTCATCGACTGAACCTGCTCGTGCCTAACACCGATGTAGACCGTGCGTATCGCAACCACGACGACCGACCGACCCTCCGTACTACTTACTACACTGTGCGTCCTCAGGCAAACAGCGCGGGGTGAAGGCTGGCTGGCAGTTTTGGTGTTCCCGGCGGCTCGCTTAGTGGCCAATCAGGACCGTAGAATAACACCCACTCTTCCTATATAATTCATTGTAAAGAGGTAACTATTGCCTTCGGGCATTTGGTCAATTTGAAACGATACAGAGAAGATTAGCATGGCCCCTGCACTAAGGATGACACGCTCAATCAAAGAGAAGCTACCAGTTTTTTTTGCAACTTTTACAGACTTCATATGGAGGTGGGGAGTGTTTTGGTGTAGTATATAGTGTTGGGGAGGTGACGGGTTCGAGTTGCGTCGGTCGCTGCGTTTTTTTCTCATTCAACATATATAAAGTTGCTTTGCCTGGCCTCAATATATATATACTATGTTGCGAGTAACACTCATAGTACTTACAACAATTTTTACTTGATCAATGTGAGGTTGATGTATTTACTTCAGTTTTATGGTGAATATGCAGGTCAATCTGATAATATATATACACAATACTCCGTAGAGATCATTATGAATCAAAGCAACCACTTAATCAAGCACCTCCCTCCCGCTTGGCATATTCCTCCTCAATTCTCTCCTCGTATAATCTCTCCGCTTCCTCCTTGCTCAAAGGCCTGAGATCCTCCGAGCCCGTGGACAAGTATTCGGGTATCGTGGCACTGTTCTGGTCCATGCCTGTGCCAAAGGCGGACGCGCCGAGGGTATTTCCCGTTGCTGCGAGGCGGTTGGCGGAAGAATCAGAGGTACTGTCTGTGCCGTTGGGCAACGAGTTGGTATCTTTGTGTGGCATTTTCAGAGGTATTGGATTTTGTTTTGGTATCACTTTCTGTCAGAAGGACAGATGGGAGGAAAGAAATGAGTTTGTTTGGATTATGATAGACAGGTAGTAGTAGATATTGAAGGTAGTAATGGGTTGCGATATTGTTTACTTATAAGCGTCGTGGTGGCGACCCAGAATCCGCAACGTCATAGGCCACCGACCGTGGCTTAGCAATCCAAGCACAGAGTACGAGCTCCCAGCATCGCGGATATGATTGCCCTCCAATGGGTAGTTACTTCCGTCGCGCACTGCTAAACATCTTATTCGCTGGTACAATGCCACCACTTAAGCTGCTCTGTCTACTACTACGATGTCCTCTTCTCCACCCTCGGGCCACTGGCCCAAGAACTGATGAAAAGGAAAATAAGCTCCAAAAGGAGAAGTGCCAAAGAATACGCCTGTCAATGACCCGTAGGCCGTTGAACGGATTGTTCCGCCGCGCTGTGCAATGCAGGGACCAATCCGTGGTGAACCGCCTTCTTGATCGCAGTCACCCAAACAAGGTAAGTATGAAGAAAAGAAAGAAGAAAAAAGTCTAAAAGGGCGACGGGGGAACGTTGCTTATATAGGAATGGGTGGGGAACTATGGATAGCGCTAGCGGTAAGCGAGGTTTGGCGGCACGACTCGTTTCGGTATGTCACGTGGATACTATTGGAGGCCTCCTTGCATGCCAATACGCTTCGCTTTGAGGCCCACGGAGGACTGACATGGCTAGAAGTATGTTTGAGTTATCTACTCCGTATCCTCCGCATAATGAAAAAGACTGTTGTCTTCAAATGAATTCTAATCGGTGCACTAGGACAAGAACATCAGGTTCAGATATCGGGACCGATGCAAACCCAAGATCCAAGACATGAGAAAATTGCCAATGATCGGAATGAATCTCCATTGCAAACAAAAGACATTAAAGAGCGTCTGAGTTTGGAAGAAGTCGGTATCTAGCTCTGAATTGAGTCACCAAAAAAGGTCCTCGTTGCTTTGCGAACCCAATTTAACCATGATAGTGACAGGACTTAGTTCCTTCCTGAGCCTTTGGAGTAGACCGGAACAGCATAATTCGGACTAAGGACAGTCTGAAGCGGGACGAAAGGTTAACAGGAAAGTAGCCTATTCAAGGGGTTCAACTTACCTTGAGTGGTAGGCAACGTTCGAACCCCAAATGGCTCTCCGTCAAGGATCGGTCAGCTTCCACAAAAGAGACATTGTACGAGCTAGCCAGTCTCTTGGCTATGGCCAGTGCGCAATGGTTTGAATGCTCAATATTCAAAGCCTTCGAATTGATCATGTTCTTCCCCATATCGACCGCAAGGGCGAGCTTTCGGAAAAGATAGGTACAATGCTCGTCATGCCAGTAGCGCGTATAGGCTACGGGCACTTCCCCAGCCTCCAACTTCTCCACATCAGCGTCAATCGTCATCTTGGTGTCTAGGTACCACTGTCTGTCCCGAAAAGTGTCGTAGTCTTCCGTTGCCTCCGGAAAGTAGCACTCTGGAGGAATCCATGCGCGTTGCATCGGCTCGAATAAACAACCTCGTGCTCGCGCTTCATCGGGAGTCACTCCGCAATCGGTGTATGTATAGAGATTTCTGGTACGGGTCATCCAAAAGAATACAATTGCTCCTGCAAAGACAAGTGCTAAAGGTGCATATACGAGAGGCTTGGTGAGAAATATGAGGGAAAATATCCTCCGGCGTTTAGGCACCGGAGATTCAAGGCCTTCGGTAGATTCGTCTTCGTTCAAAGCTATATATTCACCACGCTCCGGTTTGCTTTGCGAAGAAGCATCATGATCATGCATTGGAATATATACTGGCTTCCGTGGTTGTTACTATGTCTTTTTGTTATTCCACTCGCTTGATCCCTTATTAATCCATGATTTTATTAGGGAGAAAGGCCACATACTAGACAGCAAAGCGGAGTATTTTAATGAAACAATTTATTAGGACCAAACGGGAGGCTGGAATTGAAGGAGAAGTTAGTGTAGACAACCTTTGGGACAAGCACGCCCGAATGTCAAGTGCTTTTCTACGTGTTGATTGCACCTCCAACTCTGATTTGTTTTCCCTTCCTAACCGGTTATGTACGAGCAAATCCGTGCCGTCTATTCCGACATTTTCGAGGATAATATGAAAGGCACTTAGGGACATCGATACTCATTGGCCCGATAAGGTACACAGAGGCATTGCAGGGATTATTTGATAGCGAATATGCCAGTATACATGCCCCGAAGGCGCTAAACATGTCTCGACCGGTTTCCAAATCATCCGCTATCTTTAGACGGAATTTTCAAGAGTGTCGGAATGAAATAAATACGGAGACAGTATCAACTTATTGTATGCTGAAGGCTAGTACTAGTGTTATAATTACCTTATATCTTCGATTAAGTCGCTTGCGGAGCTACCATTATTTGCTCGGACTATCTCTGGTTGCTCGGTTGCCTCATTATAATGTATACGTCCCCATTGTGGGGCTATTTCAACATTTAAGATAGTGGCTGAGTCGGTCATATACGGAGTCCGAATCCTGCTCCGTATATCACCATCTCATCCGCTTATTTAGCCGGCTTCAAGCTTTTTGTCTTACTTTGCTATATCGGTAGGTCCTATCCATGATACTATTTCCGTGGCCAATGAGACATGACGCCTTAGTCTACGGTCTTCCCTACCCCGCTCACATTGAATTCTCCGTCAGTACCAAAATGTTGAAAATGATGATGAGACAACTCTGGGATGGACACGAATGCTCGGCCCGTTCCGGGTGATGCTGATCCCTTGGCTGTACAGCTTTGCTGTCAATAATCTGGGATGACCCTCTACAATCCTCTACCGAGTAATATGATTATTGACTACATTACCACTGGTACAATTTACAGCATAATACAGCGGGGGAATGACACCATCGTGTGAAGATCTGACCTCACATTCACCCGTAAATCTTATAAGGAAGTACTTTCTGAGCTATCAGCTTAAAATTCTGGTCGTTCACCGGGTAGTCTAGCAGTCATTATCCGGAGGATTTACTACTCAAAGCGCACTAGGATGAATCTTGACTGCTACGGCTCATGAGGCTTTGCCCTATCCGAATAGAATGACACTCGCCTCCCCCTTCCAGAGCTGGGACTTATTCAGCACATAATGAATCAGCCTATATATGCACGGAAGTTACCGCCAACTTCGGTCAGTTTCCTGGTTTTTCATCAAGTTCACATGGAGTGCCTCCTTCCCAAAGTCATTTATTAGACTTTTGCCTGTACGATCTACGGCCACTGCCCCCCCACCTCCGCCCCAATATCTTATCGCGACAACAACATAGTCCTTAGACTAGATCGTACGAAGTCGACAAAAGCTATTCATAGGTCCAGGCAATATGAAAGGTTTTCATATTTATACTAGTAGCCACTAGGATACGTGCATTCGCCACATACCATATTGTGTGACTTGAACCCCCGGTATATCATGCCAGCGGGGCCCCGCCTCAAGGTTCGACTGGCAGATCCAGCGCCATCCCTCTATGATAACATTCGTATCTAACATGAAAACAGTATTCATCTGCAACTATTGTTTCCATTGACTATCTCTCTCACGATGCTAGACAGATTACCCCTCGAACTACTGCACATGGTGCTCGATCATGTAAGCAGTCCTCTGTTCCTCTCCAGAAGCGTTTGAAACAGACTAACTCGCCATCCCAGGTGACTCGTAGGGATCTCAAAAACCTCTGTGAAGTCTCCAAAAACATCCATGTAAAGTTGATTTCACGACTATATGAATCACTCATTATAAAAGCAACGCACCCATCAGCTCAGTTCTTGAACGATGTAATCACGAGGTCCAATCACTCGCAGTTAGTGCATACAAAGCACTTCAGGCTGTGGAGTGCATGTCATGAGATAGAAGTTTATCAATTTTGTTCTTTGCATGATTTCCTGGTTCACAGGCTTCAAACTTCGGATGATTCTGATGGACCCATGTCAAGACCGATACTGCGAGATCAGCAGACCACTACATTTGACTGCATTCCGATCTTGACACACAACATGCAGGGCATGACATCGGGACTCCCTCAGGGCCGACTTCAGAGTTTCCAGTACAGATACTGATTTTTGATGCACTACGCCGAGTCAACACTAACATGCTATAGGTGGGATCTAAAAGCGTGTCTTTCCGACGAAGTGGTTCTCTTCATCAACAATTTCTTAGAGACCCAAAAGAACATCACTACAATCTCTCTTATCACTGATAACGACTGTACTGTAGCCAAAATCAAACAAGCGTCATGCACCATAAATCTTGCCCAGCTTTCTAAGCTCCAATCCCTATCCTGGAGAGGTCTCAAGCGCTTTGTTGATTTCGAGTCTGTTAGACAGTTTATCGCTGCACATGGAGCTCAATTGAAGGCACTGCACCTCGATCTCATCGGCTGGGACAGCGCTAGACTGGCCTGGGAAGAAGGTTTTCGAATACTGCCCATTCCCAATATATGGATGCCACGGAACTTCTTTGCGCAATGCGTGCTTGGTCTTCCATGTATAGAAAGACCGATCCCCCTTCTCACAGCTCTTGAACGCCTGACTCTCTCCCAGGTATCTTTCAGCCCCATGAAGGTCCAATTAGTCGGTGCTCTGAACGTAGAGCGACTCCAAGCATTGCAACTCATCAACTGCCCTGGAACATTTAGCTTCCTTCGCGAGATCGTCCGCTCACGCGTGCCTCTAAGGCTGAAACTGCTCGAGTTGACATTCAACCCGGAGAAGCTGAACCAAATAACCGACGAGTCACAGGATAATGTCACCAACACCGTGAAAACCTTCCTGAAGGCTTTTTCCGGCTTAACTGACCTCTATCTTATGCTCCCAGCAGTCTCCTGGGACGACATATGTGGCAGCATGTTGCATCACAAGCCCACACTGAAACGCCTCGTCACGCACTCGCTCGTGAGTGCAGATTACGGCCACTACGGAGACGGAGATCTGTTTGGGTCGGTTGAATTCCGACCCAGCATATCCCACGATCCAGGGTTGGAATTTCTCGGAGTCTCGACATGTATCGAGGATATGTGTACATTTGCGGTATTCGCCACCCTATCTGTCCCCTTCCCCTTTTCAGTATCTATAATATTGACATGGATTGCCGTCAAATGCTGACCTGAAACTTCTCTGGAACAGGGCGACCACAGTCTCAGCACCACTATCAAAGTACTTCATATCAGAGCAAGTCGGCACTGGTTGCACGAACATAAACCAGAGAATTCTGTAGCCCATGATGTTCTGCCTTCCTACGCCGAATGGGCTTTTGGGCGCGAAGGATACTTGCATCTGCAGGTCTTGGCTTACGGGGATTTCTCTCACGACGGATGTTACAACGAGTATAATCTCCTTTGGTGCAGGACAGGCCTTCATGGTTTCAAGTTATTAACCCCTTCTGATGCGAAGTTTTGGGATCTGGTGGAGGAATACAAGGATGTTTTGGAGGCTTGTGCGTTCGATGAGTTGTTTCTTGAGAAGGGAGTGCCTTGATGATTGCTAGTTTTCACTTTCCTGAAGGTATTGTATACTTATATAGCCATGCCGAGTGGCTCAGGACACACTTACTGACATGCCCCGGGCGCTCAGTGAGCGGGCTGATCTCTGTAGAAGTCCTGTTCGGTAGTCTAGTTATTTCTGTGTGGTATGGCTACCATTTAGCAGTATTATTATATGCAATTAGCCCAGGCAATAAGTACATGATCGGTCACAGTACATAGGAATAAGGAGTATAACCCCGAAAGTCAATCCTCTCAATGCAATTAATTGCCTGTCCTTGACCATCTTCCACCGCACCCCGTTCACTCAGCACTAAGAGCAAGGCACGCGTCTACTGCCAATCCAACCCTGCATGGCCAGTGTTAGCTACTCCATGTATCACTCCTCGTGTAGAAGCAAGGGACAGCTTACCTTCCCCCCTTGATCTTGACCACATCATCAATAACATCGCGGTCAAGGTTAGGGAACATGTTACATAGCGTCTCTACGACGTTGTTGTGCTCTGCACGATGGATTCTCCGTGCCTCTGCATCCTCCGCACTGGCCTGACGCGCAGCAGCATCTTGAGCATCTGCCCTGGGAACCTGCGGAGAGGCTGCACTGCGTGGCCTCTCCGCCGATCGCCGGCCTTCACTGCTATTACGGGGTGGCTGGTACACGTTTGGAGTCAGTCGTGGCGACGCCCCAGACTGCGCGGGCCGATCTTGAGGGGAGTCTGGCTCATCAGAGAAGATCCTTCCAATGGTCGACAATGGTTTCTGAATGGTCCGCAGAAGCCCTGCTACTGGGGCCGAATCTTCATCGCTAGACTGCGATGTCTCCTTGCGCACGACCGTGCGTTGCGTGTCAGCAGAGCTTCGTGGCGCGGATTGAGAGCCTTCGGCGGAACGGCCTGAGCGTTGGCGCTCCAAGGTCTCCGACTCGCGGTTTTGCTGGGCAATAGCCGATACGGCTGCTTCAACGCTTCGCTCGAATTCTTCATCGCTCACTGTTAGGCTCGTTCGGTCTAGTGTCTCGATGAATTGAATCGCTCCCGACTAGATAGATGTCAGAATATGGTCGTGAACAATAACAGGAGTTAGCGTACCAGTGATGATAAGTAGTACCCAGCTTCCCCTCCGAGTTTATCCTGGTTGCGGAATCGCAGGATATATTGTATGTTCGATACTAGATGTTCGGGATTGGCCTGCAGCACCACGTAGATCAAAAGCGGCACGAAAGAATCGGCAGACGTGTCAGATCTTTTAGAGTTCCTCAGTAAACCTTGGAACATTAGCATATGTCATCTCCGCCCTTGCATTGAGTCTAGAACCTACCGAATATGACTTTGCAGCAGTTCAGTATGCAGATAACTTTATCGCGAGGAGCCCGATAGCCGTTGATTTTCAACAATTCTGTAACCGGTTAGATAAATGTCGATCGAAGGAAAAGAGGGCCCATCGCATACCCTGCTGAGCTAAATTCAGAAAACGACGACCGTGAGAGCTCACTGGCGGTATGTCCAGATGCTCTTCTTTAACCCAGCTGTAAATCCGCATCTTCTGAGCGAGAACTTCGTCTCGCTCGATATCCTCCTGATGCTGCCCTCGTCTCCATGGGCCATGCATCCTCTCCATCTCACGCCTTTTGCTTCTACTCGCACTTCGCGGAATTGTGGGCGGACCCGGAATAGCTGGGGAAAAGGTTTGGGAATATAGTCTATTCATTACGAGCTTCTCCATCCCCTCTTTGGCGTTGTCAAATTCGCTGTCGGACACATCGCGCCATACTTCACATTGAGCCATTTTGTTGGTGATGAACACCAAGAAATCGCTGATAATCTTGACTTGTTCATGAACCATCCATTGTCGCTTCCCGAACTCATGGAGAAATGAGCGTAGGAACTTGGCAACCGGGTCCGCAGTACGGTGACGCAGTTGCTCTAAGAAGCGATGGAAATCAAAAGGTTGATCTGGCTCAGGCTCGGGTGGCGGAGGGATTGTCGATGTCGACGAACGCCGACTTAACTTGGCCTCGTCGGCAGCAGAACTCTTGGGAGCCTTCGCGGGTTGTTTCTCAGCCGAGACGGAAGATACCCCTGTCGCAGACTTGGGCATGCGCGAGTCGTCAGCCGCCGATATACTGTGATCAAGGCTTGACTGACGAGGGGGAAAGTGGCTTTGTCCACCCAGGAACTGCTCGGCTAATTCCAAGCGGGGAGACATTATCTGTTCCTGCCCATCGCCGCGCGTGGAGTCTTGAAATTGATCCATAATGCTTTGGATTTCCGACTGGGAGTCATTGTCACCACCAGCAGTATTCTTCCTCCCATCTTGGTCATTCTCAGGCACCTCCGGCAACTCCTTATCAGTCAATTCGATCGCGGGCGAGTGTGTAATCGCGGAGTGAGGGTTTGAGGACACATATAGTTCATCTTTCGCTGGGGGTGTAGGAGGGATCTCTGCATTTGGCGACGTGGCAGGCTCCGGTCTTGCCGTCGTGGTGATAGAAAGTCCCTTCATCCGCTCCGGAAGCGATTCCCGCGGGGGCAACACAGGATTCGAGGGATCTGTGGCGGACGGTATCGGCATCGTGCTTGGGGACTCCGTGATGGTGGCCTGCGCTTCGCCCTGAGCGCTCTCCTCCATGTCGCCTTGTTGCACTTTTTGGCTGGTCATCGGCACTCCTGAGGGGTCATCCTGTTGCTCCGCGGCAGGCTCGAGGCTAGTCGAGCTCACTTGTTCAGTCGAACTAGAATCGCTGTGAACGGCCGGCTGGGCCTCCCCATGACCACTAGGAGCCGGGGATTCCGAGGGTTCTATCGCAGACATAAGCAACCTGCATGCACGCCAAAGTCAAACTAGAAAATCAAGAGAGCCTGGTTATGTAGAAACATGGATCATCATGAGGGGAAATATGCGGAGACGTGGTTCCCGAGGCTGCCACGTAATAGACCACGAATGTCGGGTAGCTAATATTGGCAACAGAATTCAAGGCCCCGGGGTCAATCAAAGTAGGTGTCAGGGGAGAGATTGCGGAAATATAGCAAAAAGGGCCCCCAGATAGGGGAGTAAGCTCCATCAGCGCCGAGGATGACAGCCCGCAATCAGCGGCGGGGGATCATCGTTCCCCCGACTTCCGGCTCTCATCTTGTGTTTCTCTTTCTCTTTCTTCTCTTTCACCTCAAAACTACACCCCCGCCAGCGTCTCGCTTGCGGTTTGCTTGCTACCATGTGTGGGATTTTCTTCTCTCTTAGCGCATCAGGAGCAGTGCTTCCTAATGAGGAGACTTGCTGCTTGTTGCGGAAAAGAGGACCCGATAACTACCATGTTCATAGCGTTGAACATAAGATAACCAATCCACGGTCAAGCAATGAAGAGCCCATTGCTGTTCAGCTTACCTTTGTTTCCACAGTCTTGTCGATGAGAGGAGGCTATCTTGTGCCCCAGCCATTAGTGGATCCTACTACGCAGTCCGTGTTGTGCTACAATGGAGACGCCTGGAAGATATCAGGTGAACCTATCCAGGGCAATGATGCGGAGCTGATCTTTAAGCTGTTACTGCAGGCTATAAATCACCCTTCTAAGGCCACTTCGTCAGCAGATTCGAGTACGAATGCTGTCCAAGGTGTTCTGGCTCTTATCAGTAGCATCTCCGGCCCCTTTGCTTTTGTATTCTATGATGCGATCAACTCAAAACTATTCTTCACCAGAGACTCACTTGGAAGACGCTCTCTACTCCAAGGTGTTAATGAGTCGGGGGCCTTCAAGCTGTGCAGTCTCTGCGATGGCACATCTTCGACCCACTTTAGTGAGGTCGAGACAGACGGAGTGTATGTGGTTGACTTAGAACATGCTATATTCCAGAATAACTCGATCGCAACGAAGAGTGCCGGTACGCCTTCGTTCGATGCAAGTTGCATACAGACTCTGCTCTGGGAGCATAATGCATCCGACCTCCCTCTTCGTCCTGTACGCACCTCTTCCTCATCCGATCTTACCTAGCTAATCATTATGTAGAGAAACCCTGTCCCTCCGATGAATAAATCTATACCCGAAGGAGAAGCTCCTCCACTAACCGTTGAAACTACCGCTGTCAAGGAACTCGAGCATAATCTACGTCAGTCCTTGGCAATGCGAATTCAGAATGTACGAGAACCTCCGACTGCTTCATCAGGGAGCAATGTGAAAGTCGCCGTACTGTTTTCCGGTGGCCTCGACTGCACATTACTCGCTAGGCTTTCTCATGAAATCCTACCAAAGGAGGAAGTCATTGATTTGCTCAACGTGGCATTCGAAAACCCGCGCGTTGCGGCCGCCGCAAAGAGCAAGGGAGACGCCACTGGCTCCGTGTATGAAAGCTGCCCTGACCGTATTACCGGCCGGGCGGCATTCGCAGAGTTGCAAAGAGTGTGCCCCGATCGCAACTGGCGGTTTGTGGCGGTAGATGTACCGTACCAGGAAACCCTTGCGCACCGTGAGACTGTCAAGCGTCTGATGAGACCCCACAATACGGAGATGGATCTATCCATAGCCTGCGCATTATATTTTGCTTCGCGTGGTCAAGGCCTGGCATTCGACAGTCGACAGCTCGATGCTCAGCCCATGCAATATGCCACTTCGGCACGAGTGCTACTGTCTGGTCTTGGCGCAGATGAGCTATTTGCAGGATACTCGCGACATGGAGCAGCATTTTCTCGGGATGGGTTCGCGGGCCTCATCGACGAGATCAACCTTGACGTCAGCCGTCTTGGAAAGCGAAACTTGGGCCGTGACAATCGAGTCATTGCACACTGGGGTCGCGAAGCGCGGTTTCCGTTCCTAGACGAAGAGTTTGTCTCCTGGGTGGTGCAGCTCCCAGTCTGGGAGAAATGCGGCTTCGGCACCCCTTTACCACCAGCGGATTCACCAGAGGCAGGGCTCGATTCGGAGAAAAAGGCCCTCCGTCTGGTTGCACTGAGACTCGGCATGACGAACGTCGCCCGCGAGAAGAAGCGAGCAATTCAGTTTGGGTCCAGAACAGCCAAGATGGAGAAGAGCAAAGTAAAAGGGACTGATGCTCTTACCTGAATAGATTTCCTTTCCTTTTCTTTTCCTTCCATCAACACCCTCCCCTTCAGATTCCCCCAATATGTCTTTGACCGTACCAAAACATGCCTCCACCCCCCAATCACATCAATACAGACCAGCAATGATGACAACTCTGGATCAGATACTTCTGAGACCGCCTCTTCGATCTATGCTCCCCATCCAGCACACTCTCGTTTCGACCTTCAAGCAGGCACGGCTCCAGTGACCCCCACAACACACTCATCGCCACACCTGTTTTATCAACTGTGGGAATGCAACCGCCTGCCCATCATCTAGGAGACTCCCTGCACCGTAAACGGAGCGGGATCTCCTGATGGAACCAGGACTGGTACTTCCCACACGCTTAGATGGCACTTTCTACGAAAGCATTTCCATGAGTGTGTTGGTATACTGGATGTCGGTTCTGTTTGTTGGTCGGGCGCGAGGGTATGGATGGTTCGGGCAAGCAAGAGGTTGTTTGTCTATGAAGTAGGTAAAAAGGCAAGTCTGAGCTGAGTCGATAGCACACACACATATATGCACATGCACATACATGAGACAGATAGAAATGTAGATGAGTTACGAGTGACGTTGACAAATTGATCAGTGGCCCTGTACGATAATTAAACCTATATAGCCTTGGTACATCTACTTGAATGAGAAAGCAAGCTTGAAAAGGTTGTTTGCGGCAGCTTCTACGGATTTATTGGCCAAAAGCTTCAGCGGAGAGAATACGGTTACAAAGAAGATATAATGCGCATATAAGATACTTGAATTGGAGAATACCATAGTTCACAGTCTGGTACATAAGCGCAACGGTAATAACATAATAGGCACTCGAATCAGTCAAGTACACGAGATAAAATAAAGAGATTAGTGGCCACGAGTCAATCCCGATAAGTGGGAGACATCAGAACCGGCCATGGAAACAGAGAAAAGGCAGAAGAACCATAAAACAGACCCACAGTACATGACTGGGAATGAGTGAATCACAGCAGCAGATGCAGAGATGCAGATCTACTGAAAAGTACACTGTGTAAGCTCCATAGTAAATGGCGCAAGAACAAAAGGAAACTTTTCATCTGTCGGAAGCATCACTCAAGAGACTGGATGATGCTTCCGACAGGTGGTGACAGGAGGCTCGACGCCCCCGCCCACAGAGCCCACTAGGGATAGGAATAGCACAATGAGCACAATACAGATACCAAAACCAAAACCCCATGCCATACCCGAAATGAAAAACCCAAGAAACTTTTTAGATCAGTTGGTGCCAGTCTTGGCCATGCTTCGCCAGTACTCCTCGCGTTGCTTGGACTCTTCAAGCATCCGCTCGAGCTCCTCAATACGGCGCTCCATCTCGCCTTGACGCTCAAGCTTGCGAGCACGAGATTTGCGAGCAGCCTCGGTATTGCGGGCCCTCTTCATGGCGGCGGGGTCGGCAGAGTCGAACTTGATTGGAGGCAACGGCTTCCGCTGACGCGCATTGACACCGGCCACTGTGGAGTGCTTGGTGCCCTGACGGGATGGGGCAGGAGAGGCAGACGGCGCGGGCGAGGCGCTGTCACGGATCACTGGAGTTGGAGGGGGTCCGGTCGCCTTGGGCTGTTGAAGGGAAGCAGCAAGCTCAAGGGCAGCCGAATCCAGGTCCAGAGAAAACCCATCCTGAGGGAACAGAGACTCCCACTCCTCAGGCACGGCGTTCAGATCCATCTCGGTGTTGATCATAGGAGATGTGTTCTGACTGAAGAAGCCAGGCGTATCCAGCGGGGGAGTGCTGAGATCGGTGAAAGTCGTCGATGGGGGAGCCGAAGCATCAAAGAACAGATCCTTCGGCGAGACGGTGCCCGGAGGGGCAACCTCTCCCATCGGGCTGAAGAACGAAGTGTTGATCTGGGGCGAAAGCATGTTGGACTCTGGGGAGCTGAGATCGTCCCCAAAGCGGTTGGACTGAAGATCAAAAAGCTCAGGGAAATCTAGAACTGTCTTAGCACCGTATACATAAGCGTGCACTGCCCAAGTGACGAGCTTACCTTGAGCGATGTTGGGGGTAGACATGATGCGGCGATGGTGTAGATACGATGCGTATTTTCTCTTTAGGTTTTGGTTGTGCTGATTCGGAAAGGCGGAATAGTTGCCCGTCTTGTCGTTGAATAGAGGGACGGGTGGGCGGTTAGAGTAGGCAGTGTTGCTCACTGCAGGAGTAGGATTCGAAGCGGCAGGTGTTGCGAACCGACGCGCGAAATGCTTTCGCAGAGCGGGGTGAGACCAAGAAGACGGAGACGAGGAATATCCGGAAGATTGAGCGGCTAATCTGGCCGAAAGAGGAACCTGCGCAGGCGAGCCTGGGAGCTGCTGATGCAAAGCTGAAGAGTGTCGTCTAACAGGATACCCTGGTTGGACCAGAGAAGGTTGATATGCGGATAATCTAGGGGTAGAATTGATCGGTGCTTGAGCACACGAGTCCCTGAGTTGCGGCGGGGGACACGGAGCGGGAAAGAGCACAAAGTCCTGCGGAAGGGGACTGGGATTGTTGTTGTTGTCGCTGGGAATCGAATTCACTGGAGCCGATGGCTGCTGAGGCGGGGGCGTGGGAAGCCATGATTGCTGTTGGGTATCCGTGGTGAACGACGAGATGTCGAACGGGAAAGCGTTGTTCGGAGAACTTGAGCTACGCAAAGCGATGCTAAAGTTCAGAGGTCCTGGGACAGGAGACTCTGAGGGGGTGGAAGAGGAGAGATTAGAAAAAGACGAGGTCCGAAGAGGATCTATGGTGTCTGTCTCGTACGAGAAAGACGTAGCTGGTGCGGGGGAGGCGTTTAGCAGGCCATTTTGAAAGCACGTAGTATCAGAAGCGGTATAAGTATGATGCTGTATGGTGACTGAGTTGTGATGAAAAAGAATAGAGAGATGTGTGGAGTGGGAAGAAAAGATGAAGTGGGAGAGAAAGAAAAAGGAGGGAGAAAAGAAGCGCCAGGCAGCGACGGGAAGCCAGGCACTTCTTAACTGTTTGTGTGTGCGGTCTTGCCCGGATCTCTCCGCCAATCACCATTGATCGAACCCCCGCCTGGTGCCCTAGCCTGATTGGGGATAGTCAATCTTACGCGGTCAGCAGGTGTGAGTCATAGGGACAGTAAAGCCCACGATTGGCTGCCAGATCCAATAAGTGGAGCCTGCAGGAGCCCCAGGCATTCCCGTGCCTGGAGCAGCAAGTCTCAATTACCCTGTATTCTACTGTGTAGTACCAGGCAGGTACGTAGGCTTTCCTCCATTCAGCCCGCAACGGAAATGTCACTTGCAGGTCACTGGCCCAGTAGCAGCAGGCCCCCCTCAACCTTGGATTCCTGGTCCTGCTTCGACTCCTTCATTGAACTCCACCACTACTAGACTAATATGAAAGGAAGAAACTAGGCAAAAAAAAACAATAAAAAAAAAAAAAAAGAAGAAGGCCGCGCGACTTACTGTGGGTGATGAAACCGGTTCGCACCCGTGCCGCCGACCGGACCCATTGGCCAACCAGCAGGCACAGCCCGTCGGGGTCTGCATTTGGTGCAGCGCCCGGGGGTGTCATTGGGGCTGAGCCTGAGCCTCAATGTCTCAACTGTCTGCGAATGAGACCTGTCCTGTGTCCATCACTCTCTTGTCCCGTGCGACTGTCACTCCCTTTGTGCTTTGTAGGATCTCTCTATCTACGGAGTAAGCCTCAACTCCTGGCTACCGTGTTCTTGTCCCGGTTCACTGGGGCCGCAGGAATACGATGCCGCACCAAGGGATACTAGACAAAAAAGACAGAGAGCCGGTTTGCAACCAGGGTTTTTCACCCGGTCGGAGGATCCTTTCCCTAATTCCCTCCCCGCCCTGCAGCCCCCTCCTCGCCAAAGTCGCTCGAAGGGCGTGAAATTCCACTTGGGTCAAACTCTATCAAGACACCGAGACGTTCCGGCCTTCATCTGACCACAAATGAGATTTTAAATTAAAACGACCCTTGGCGAAATATTGCCCTAGGAAGGATTCACACAAAGACAGGGGAATCAAATTGAATCCGGTCCCGTTAGATTTTAAGGAGATTATTCTCGCTGTAACAGGGATGGTATATTCGTCGGGGGGTCGTATAATCTCCGGGGAGGTGCGTCGTATATTCCGGGCGGAGCATAAAAGATAACTACTAGACTAGACCAAGACTATTGGAATTTCCTCATTCTAATTAGTAATGCACGGGACCAACCGGCCCATGTGAAACCTAAAAGCCAATTACCTGCAAAGCGGAAAAGAAAATTCACTTGTGTTCTTATTCCATCCGAAGTTGGCATGTCTAAGATCGAGGTCTAGAAGGAGTAAATGGAGGTAGAATACTAGGCAACAATTCCGACTTCACAACCTACCTACCATCTCCTGCCAAGTCAACCCTCAGTTGACTAGGAGACGGACATATCAACACATCTCGAGATCGCACATGTCGTACGTATGTACATGCCTGCTAGCTAGTAGATACCGTTGCAACCTGCTCCGAGTGGGGATGCCAATCAGCGTCTGCATACATCAGCCGCGGCGCGCGCGCATCACCGCCGTATGCAGGCCGGTTATACCATGCCTGTCCTGTCCCCAGGCAGCCGCCGGCGATGACGTCTTGTCCAAGGAGTCGATGATGCCTGGTCAGCACTGCACAGTAGGACTAACTTGTCTACGACTCGGGAAGAGTCGAACCAAGCTTTCGTCTTCGTCGTGTTCATACTGAAATTACGGGATTGATTCGTGCTGCATGGTACACCTAGCCTGAGTACAACTAGTCCCTTTCTTTCAAATTGTTTAGGCGGACCCTGCGAATGCGAGACAATTGTACGAATAACAATAGTAGTACTAGCCGTGATGTGTGATCCCTTTTGCATATGCTCCCTCTCCCTTTTCCTTTCCCCCCCACCCCCCATTGAACCCTTTCTTCCCCTCCTGTCGAATTGGCGACGGTGATGGTTCCGGCGCTAGGCGAATTACCCGTGCGCTCCGTGCAGGCGCCAGGCTGCCAGGGCTGCGTGGGTTGTCAAGTGCCCATCCTGTCGATTATCCCTGTTATTTTTTTTCGATTCGGTCTACAGGGGAATGCAGTTTCTCATTCAATGCTTGGCTCTGTATGCAGTGTCTGGTAGTTGTGCATATGTAGAAAATCTTGTATGTGTCGTAGCCTATAGGACCTCCGGCCACTATTCAACTGAAATATATATACTGAAGGAACATGATGCAGAACAACACAACACGATTGGAACCAATCACCAACAAGACCAAGCCAGACAAGCAATATAAGCTCTGGCCACCTGTCAGCAGTACTACTATCTAGGCGCCTGAACTCGCCTCGGCCATATTCATCCACTCCTATGAAGCAGAGGACCACCACCTTACCTATATACTACCACCTAATAGTAGTAATCAAACCCCACATCCGAAACACAATCACCGAATCCACCCAAAGCACAGATACAATCGCAGCCTCACTACCCTCGACGCCTGCAACACAGCTAGTCTACAGAGTACACAACAGTCTAGCCCCTACTACCCATCTTATCATCCAGTCAAAACAACCTATTACCTCCCCCCAATTCAGGAACCCTGATGCCTAAACATCCATTTAACTCCAGGCACCCAAGTCAACGAACTACCTCGCCAAGATAAAGGTTCCCCCCGAAAGATCCCGAACCGGAATCCTCCCTTACTAGGCAGAATACCTACATTCAGGAAAGGACATACACACGACTCTGATGCGCAACGGCGCACAGTCTAGTCCAGACCAGACCACTCTATACCCCACTCCACCCCCCAGGCATCAACGAAGTACACATATTTCCAGAGTTATCTAGACGGGGTAAGTATGTCCATTGCGTACCTGCTAGCACATTACGATATGTCGAATGTCAGATAGATATATGGAGAGACTAGGCAACAATCAACCAACACATATTCCCAGAATACAGAAGTGAAAGCACCGGTATATTGTGGTATAGCTGATAATAGTAGTAATACTACTACTACCAATCAGACTAAATATTAAACTACTACACTATTATATCAGAATTGGAAGCTTAGTTGTTCTTGTATTTACACCCACCTGCGGATACGGCTTTGAAGGGGTGTTGGTGAGGAATTTTTTATATGATTAACGGTGCGATATGATCATAGATAGATACTGCCTCAAGAAGTGCATTTGACCTAACAGCATCATGATAACCCGGTAGATATATATCTGCGATGCGAGACTGGTATTCCCGATTTACATCCAGAGTAAATGCAGATGATGTGCAGATCTGTTAGTTCCAAGGCTCGGTGCATGTACTACTAGTACTTGCATAGTAAGTGATCCTAGAGAGCAAACAACAGCTACTTGAGGTCAAAAATAGAAGACTAATTTTATATATATATAACACACAAAAAACAATGTGCAATGGATGAAAGAAAGAAAACAAAAAGAGAAATTGAGCTCCGATAGGGGGAATCGAACCCCCGGCTGCCGTGTGAGAGACGGCGATGTTAGCCACTACACCATATCGGATATTTGTTGAATGATGGGTCATTTTAAGCTCTTATCAGCGGCTTGATCCTGCAGCCGCCAGCTCAACGTCCATGCTCACCTTCTATGATAAGCTTACATTCAAGAGTCCCCACCCCGTACACCAAGTGGACCGTGAGCACGTTACGCCTGCGGCCCTTAACAAAGTACGACAATCACCTAAGTCTAACACCTCGGATACACTACTACTAGGCATTGAAATAGAGTATAGTGGATATGTTACTAACAATACGTGGATTCTATTAAGTATTACCTCATGATGCTGTGCCATGTATACATGGCGCTATCAGCACGCTGTCACCATGTAGCCATGGTAGTCGACGGTTCGGGCCAATTTAGGTGGAGGGAAGTCCCCGTCCAGCTGGCAAAAGGCACCCTTTCTCCCAGTAGGGTATCAAGACAAAAGCATCAAACAGCAACATGAGAACATCAAAGAGCAAGCAATAAACAGCAACAAGTGGTATCAATCTAGTTTGGACGGCGCACAACATGAACACACAAGGCCAGTTGGGTATCCTTGCGGAACGCATATCATAAAGGAATGAAACGCAGCACCGGACACGCAATAGACATCCGGGCTCGGAAATGACCGCCAAAGCAGCAGAGGGTATCATTGACACTCATCTTGGCAGACCTCGCCTTGCACAGGGAGGGATACCAAAATGGTGGCAGTGGGAACATCAATTAGACACAAAAAGTAACAATCATTGGATGTATTTTTTTCTTTTCCGGGCTTTTCATTTTCCAGAACGACTGATCATCGAGTAGTTGAAGGATTGGGATACGAATATCGCTGGTCCCACCATTTCTCATACTCGACTTCCTTGCGAGAAGCACTTCATGCAGCAGCTTGAACAGGAGTAGAAGTGGCGACGTCGACGGGCTTGGACTCCTCAGCGGGAGCAGCCTCAGCGGGCTTAGCACTCTCCTCGGCAGGAGACTCCTGGACGGTAGCCTCCTTGGGAGCAGCCTCAGCCTCGGTGGCCTCCTTGGGCTCGGACTTCACGGCCTTGCTGGGCTTGCGGAAGATGCCACCAAGCTTGTTGCCCTTGGGCTTGGGCTCGCCATCGGCACCCTCGTTGTCGGAGTCACCCTTCTTCTTGCCGAAGTTGCCGAAGAAAGAGGTGCGACGCTTGTCCTTGGGGGTCTCAGCGGCGGGAGAAACGGGAGCGGCGTCCTTAGCAGCCTCAGCCTCAGCGGGAGCAGTCACGCTCTCGGGCTCGATGGGCTTCACAGCGGCCTCCTCAACGGGGTTGTCCAGCTGAGGAGCAGTGCTAGCAACAGCGGTCTCGGCAGGAGCAGTGGCCTCCTTCTCCGACTTCTCGTGGGAGGGGCTGGTAACCTTCTGGAAGAAGTTGCCGAAAAGAGAAGCACGCTTGGACTTGGGGGCAGGGGTTTCCGCCTTCTTCTCTTCCTTCTCCTCCTTCTTCTCCTCCTTTTCTTCCTTCTTGTCACTGGCTTCAGCAGGAGCAGCTATGTTGGCATTAGTATTTGGTACACCCAAGGTACTAATATACGGTAACATACCCTCAGTGGTCTCAGCGGCAGCCGAAGCCTCAGCAGCAGGGACCTCAGCAGCAGGGACCTCAGTAGCAGCCTCAGCAGGCTTAGCCTCCTCGGCTTTGTCCTCCTTGTCCTCAGCAGGGGCAGCCTCCTCCTTGGCCTCCTCCTTCTTTCCAAGAAGAGTTCCGAAGATGCTGGCCCTCTTGCGAGACTGAGAGCGGCTCTTGGAGGCAGCCTTGTCCTCCTTCTTGTCCTCGGCGGGGGCAGCCTCCTCCTTAGGCTCGGCCTTCTTAGCGGGTTCGGCAACAGCAGGCTTGCCTGTTGGGGGTTAGCGGCCTAACTTTATACGCTGTTCAACTACGAATGTGACTTACTCAGCTTCTCGAGCTCGGCCTTGTAACCCTCGCTGGAGGTCACGGCCTCCTTCTCAGCCTTGGCCTCAGCAGCCTTGGCCTCGAGGGCGGCAATCCAGCTGTCACGCTCGGAGGTGCTGGAGGCCTGGAAGGTGTGCTTCTGGCCGTTGACCTTGAAGTGCAGCTCGGTGGAGCCCTCCTTGGCAATGTCGGAAACATCAGCCTGGAAAGTGAGTTAGCAAGTGGCGCAAAGTTTATCCGGTTGTCTATCATATTTACTGACCAGGTTGAAGATGCCGGCGGGGGAGGCCTTGTCCTCTGCGCGCTTGGTGAAGAACAGAAGACCCTTGCCGGTCTGGCTGGCCCAGGCGGCGATGGGGTTGGCGACCGCGGCCTTCTCGTTCTGGTGGAAGGCAGACAGCTGCTTAGACTCAACAGCGTCGTCGCTGAAGTAGAAGAAACGCTTGGCGAAACGGAGGCCCCTGTTTTGTGTCACACTCCATTAGTCACTGCATACTGTAAATCTGTCGCAACAAGTGGCGCCTTACTTGACGAGACCGGGGGCCTTGTAACCCAGGACACCCTCAGAAGCGGGGGTCACCTCCTCCTGCTTGGGCTCCTCCTTGGGCTGTTCAGCGGGAGTCTCCTCGGTCTTGGACTCCTCCGCGGCGGCGGGGGCAGCAGCCTCAGTGGTCTCAGCGGGAGTCTCCTTGGGCTCCTCAGCGGCGGGGGTCTCGGTGGCCGGGGTTTCGGTGGCAGCAGGCGCTTCAGTAGCAGGAGCAACGGCGGGGGCAGCCGCAGGAGTCTCCTCGACAGGCTTCTGAACGTCGGACATGGTGTCGGGTGGTGATTAGACGAGTAATTATAATCAGTAGGGATGGGATTAAATAAGAGCTAGGGAAGCTGGCGAAGCTTCGTAAATAAAGGCGCGCGTCGAGCAGGGTATCTCTTTAAGGGGTATCTCAACAGAAGGAAACAAAAGCTCTCTTTGCGCAAAGCTACAAGAGCTCGGGTATCACAATGAAGGGGAAAAGGTGGGTGGGAAAAGAAATGAACCCGGGACGGACAGTCGCGATTAGAATGAATATGGAGAGGGAAAAGAAGAGGAGAAGAGGAGAAGAAGAGAAAGAAAGAAGCAGAAGAAGAAGAGGAAGGAAGCGACAAGAAAAAGAGGGGAGGGAGAGCAGGAGCAGGGGCCGAAAGGAGGGCGAGGGCGAGGGCGAAAATGAAAGGGTGTGGGCGACGAGGCCTGGTCATTGGCGCATCGTCCCAAACAGGCAGGGAGCTGCAGGGCGGCACTAGAGCCTAGACTGAAAGAGGGTGGGCCTGATACTGGGATGGCCACTCCAGGGCTAAACTATCATGGGTTAAGTGTCTAGTCACTTGGGTGTGTGGTGTGTGGTGTGTGAGGGTGTGAGTCTACTGCTATTTTTTTACCTTCCGTTTTTTTTTTTTTCTTTTATTTTATCCTATTCTATTTGATTTTTTATTTTTCCTTGCCCTTTTACCTAACAATCAGGGGTTGACCCCCCAATTACCTACTTCGATTGACCCATCATCATCAGACCATCCTTCCAAGGAAAATATAAAAATAAAATAAGATAAAAAAAATTACAACCCACACACAGACACGTTACTATCATCCCCCTTCACTACTGTATATGGGGACCGTCAATCCAAATCTTTCACTGGGCATCTACATCTTATGTGTTCGAATTATATATGTAAGTAGTCTGCAGATCGACGCTCGTACCTTACTGGAAGTTCTACTCCGGAGTGGTCAACTTCATGGCAAGGTAGCCCGGAGTAACTCCGTCAGAATGAGAACCCCGTTCGAGTGTGAAAAGGGCCCGGTTATTGGGTCCAAACTATAAATCAGGCCGTCGGGAGGTAATTCACTGGACGAAAAATTTTCTGGACGATGGCTCTTGCGCCGGTGCAAGAGCTTTCCTAGTCTACGGAGTACTACTCCCATCGGCCCAATAATAGGTAATACATCCTTAACCCTTGGCCTCCCCGTCCCCCTCCCCCTATGAGGTCAAAGGGCGGTTGAAACCATGGTGAATCGTTCCTCAAGACAGACAACCTTTTTTGATGACAGGTCGCCAGCTCCCCTCCATTCTTAGTTGGCTACCCGTCGTGCAGATTAACGGCTCGCAAGCAGTTGGCCTTAACCCGCTGCTGACATGATTACCTTATCATCGGGGAACTCCCATCCAGACAGCTGAAACGAAACTTATCTGAATAAGATCAGATGGGACAAAAGAAAAATTAAAGCTAGGAAGGAATATTCTTTTTTTCTTTTTTTTTTCTTTTTTCTTTTTTTTTTTTTTCATGAATTTTTATTCCATGTTTTAGACTCGAAAGAACTCATTAGACCACTTCTGAAGAATCTATGTTTACCCGTATCACCTGCTCACCGTGTTTGTGGGACCCAAGCCACCCATTCGGTCCTGATCCATGGTCTCCTATTCAGATCATCCTGGTGGGTTTAGCTTGTAGCTGGGCCGTTACACAACCATGGTTGAGTCAGTTCGCTGTTCCAATATTCAGACAAGTGGCATCTTCTTCTGCTCTCCTTATTCCTCTCCTTTTAACCTTTCATACCCTGGTGTAGATTATATCTAGGCAGGGAAGTAAAACAAGTGGCCTATGGGAGGTGTATCAAATTCAACGCAAAGATTGTATGTTTCACATATACAAGTCTGGAAGCAGGACATTCCCTGCCCAACCTGATCCACCAAGATCTCTCTCAAGGCTTCTCCGTAGTCTTCGATTAGTTCCGACTATGGCATATTAGTGAGCTAGTCAGGTGTTAAGCGCCGGGCTACTGCTAGGATTCCGTGTTTTAGTCTAGTTGAGGTATTCTGCCCGTAGGTTGCAATTTATTAGACGCTCGGTTACCGACCAGTCGTCGTTTTGGTTAACGATGTGCAGGATCTGTTCTTGGAGGGAAATCCAATAATTATTATCATCGTCGTCATCAATAACATCGTCTTCTTCATCCTCCTGCTCCGATGGCGGCGAACCTGTTTTCTCGTCAGGTATGGAGGAGAAGGAGGGGGAAATACCAATCCCAGCGGCAATCATGGCCATCCCCATCCATGCGACAGGCAAACCCCCTCGTGACAGCCCGAACATTGTTGTGAATTCGGGGGCCAACCAGGGGCCAAGGACACCCTCCATCTCAGCCTACTGCCTTGCCTTAATCCGTGAGGATTCTGCAGCCAGTAGTACTCAGTAAGTAGTAGATGGACTCGCGTGACATTACCCTGATCAATGGCGTCTTCAAGTTCGGCAACCTTTGATAGGATCTCCCTCAAGTATCTGTGGCTTTGCGATCCTATCGTCGCATTCTATCTCACAGTCTCACAAGGACCTTTGAACTTTTTTTTTCTTTTCTTTTCCGTTTCCAAGAGAAATTTATGAAAGTATTGACTAGCGCGAAAAAGAAAAAAAAAAGATCGAAAATTCCACCCCTGCCCAACAAGGTCCATCAGTTCACTTCTTACTCGTACTTTTTCGTACTTAACTTACGTTAGTAAGGGTAGGGTGACTGGATAGCGCCATGGCGGGCGGACGAGCGACCCACATGTACCAACGCTATCATCATCCCCTGTCTCAAGTCACTTCAACTCTCAACTCCCTGGAAGGTCTGACCAGATAAAACAAACAAGAACCACCACCTCCTACATAACTGCAAGATACTAGTCAAGCCAGCCCTAGAATAAAACGCCCTAGTTCCACCTCAAGAATCAAGCAATCTCCTTGACCAAGCTTCTTCTCCTTACGATGAAACTATTTTGATCTGGGGCGCAAACCAGTCTATGCGGCACCACCCATCCATAACCACACCAAACTACTATCCCTACAACCACAGCACACACGCACAGCTAACCACGGAACCAACAAGTTACAGACTAACTTTACGTTACCGAATGAGCATCATATGTCAAAGCAACCGTCACCATCAGCAGCAGAAGGAAAAGAAGCAGAACAAAAGATCGTCACGCATGCTTTCCCTAGACAACTCCCGCCATCAAATCATGATTGTCACTCGCCTATCATATCATACCCGAAATAGGAAATTCATTCAACATTAGAGCCGCCCGTGACTCGGGGGCCCCCGCCCCATACTTATTAGTAGTACTCACTACTTAGTTACTTATTCCATCATAGCACTACCAACCAACTAACCATGTACCTACTGTAGTACGTACTGTATTTGGCTGCTTTACAATTTCCACCAGTCAACCCCAGTAAGTAGCAACTCCAATCAACCCAAGGCACCTGCAGGGTACTTTAATTCAAACCCGACCCGACCGAACCAACCGACCAACCAACTAGAAGCTTTGCACTTTTGCAGAGTAGTAGATACTTACAGTAGGTATCTGCGGCGGCAAGTGTAAAGAAGAAGTGGATCTTAGCTAAACCCACTAGCCAAGTAAAAAGTAGTAGCACCACCACCACCACCCCCTTTTTCGCCGTTGCGACAATCAACCTGAACGGCACCAACGACTTGCTTATCCCGGACCGCTATGAACCAATCAGACCACCGTCGATCTGATGATCAGGCTTGGCCCGTGTTGCAATGATGGCCGATTCTGTCCTCTTTGCTTTTTCCCCTTCTCTCTTCCCCCCTCTCTCTCTCTCTCTCTCTCCCCGTCGGCAGTCAGGGTTAGTAGTAGTAGTAGTAGTCGTTTTCAAGGCTGTGCCAGATCCTACCGTATGAATAATGGAAAAAGAGGGCATTGCAATGTTGCGCGCATCTGATGCTGATTGATTCCCAAAGCTTGTCACCTACTATACTATAATAATTACTACAGTAAGTACACTGTAATCTTAAATGTTATATCAAGATCATCACTTGTAATAATCCCCATCCCCATAACTAGTTAATAAAAACAAAATCTTACATAAGACCAACCCAACTTCCGCCCCCCCCCCAGATGGGAGTACTCCGTAGAATAATTATCATGTATTGATTGCGCCATTTTGCATCTCGCTACTATAAGTAGTAGGGTAGACTCATGGAGTAGATTACCACGCCCCATTACCCGAATCATCCCAAAAAAAAACAAATAAACAATCACAAAAATAGATAGTTATCTAACTACTCTCTCTCTCTCTCTCTCTGACAAATGACTAACCACGGTGCTTACTTACCGCTTCTATCTACATACAGTAACTACGTACATCCATATGTACATCTTCCGATTTACTCCGCATTTGCAATATTACATCTTGATTGAGGATAGTTAATGACGAATATTGCGCCACGCCCACACGACATGGATTTGTCATACACATGATCCCAACTAACGTTAGATTATTGTGCTTTTATTATTGCATCAGAGTGAATTTTGCTTCATATGTAGTAGATCTTAGTATTACTCACCCATCCGATCAATTACGTTACTGATCACTGTTGCCGATAATTGTTGGTTCTCAATCAACTGACTCTACTTTACAGACATGATGAGTACGGAATCCAGCCCGAGCAAGCCACATGACTCACAGACTAACCTATAAACTTAGTACAAACTGTATCTACCAGTTAGCAGTCAATGCTAAATACATACCTTAAAAGTAGATAGATAAGCAGCGAAATGTATAACGTGACCTCACACCTCCCTCACTTAAGCCCCACCTATTTCAATCGCCGGGTGATTTCCGTGGCTGGAAGTTATACTACATAGAAGAAAGAGACACAGAGCTGGAGAGAGACAGATGTCGGAAGTTACTTGCCGGTAATCACTCGACAGTATTAAGTATTTGCCAAGCTAATTGGGATAATAAGTACGAGTGCAGTGGTTGGTTTGTGATGATGATTGGTTTTTCAGCTGTGGTTGATGGGGTGTGAATGATTGAGTGGAGGGGCCGGACAGACAGGGTCGCCTGACTGACGGAGTCACGCCATTGTTCGATCGATCATTGTATGCAAATGACATTACTTTTTCCTATTGGTGGACGGGATGCTTTCCATGTACTCCGTGCCACTTGAGGGTGCTTACAGGCTAGTGGTTGATGTTGTCGGACCCGAGGACATTGGATATGGTTCGATTTTGCTAGTGGTTCGGTTCATTCCTCGTCGGCGATCATGCGCTGTGCTTGTCGGCTGGTGACGGATCCTTCTTGTGGATCTTGATGGTTGCGTGAGCGCCTACCCTTCTAGTGGTGGTTGTATACTACACCCTCATTTCTGAATATGTAATAAAGAATAATATTCAAAAGCATTCCACATTAGGTCATTACATATGCAACAGATGTCCACCCCAAGATGCGATACAGATTATATGTGGGTTTTCAAAATACAGGACGGCATGATTGGATCAAGCTGCCGTCGTGAGAACATACCTGAAATAGGTCAGTACAGATCGTTTGCAGTAAAATGGGCGTCACTTACGAAGTAATACTGTCCATCCGCTCCGTCGTCAGCTTGAGACTAACGGTTAGCAACTCTCGCGCAATCTCTGGCTCACGCTCGCGCATGTTTTGCCATTTCTCCGCAGTCAGGCACCAGCTCACACAGTCCTGTTCGGCCTTGACTGTTGCGGTCCGCCGCGTTTCGCTGAAGAATGGTAGCTCGCCACATGGCCGTCCAGCTACGATGATCTCAAAGTACCGTCCCTGAGGCAGCTCATACTCTGCACGTAACATCCCCGACTCCAGTAGATAGAAGCCTTTCGGGACGTCACCTTCGTGATACAGCACGGTGCCAGCTGCGTAGCTCTCGCGGACAAAATACGTGCAAGCCTTGAACCAAAAATCTTCGTTGCGAGACGTCAAGCCCTGGAATGTCTGAAGAAGGAGCGGCAGGGGTTGACGCATTGCGGACCATGCAGCTGGTTGGACAACCGCCATTTCGTTCTCATGGAGAGTCGTTCTAGCGGCTTGCTGCAAGTATTGCTGACGAGGTGAACTCACCACCGCATCGCCAAGATGAGACTGACCTTGAGGCGTAGGAACTTCGAGGAAGGCTGACGACTTGTTCTTGCCGTTTAACAAGGCTTCCCTGTGGCTATAGAAGACCTTCAGGTAGTCATTCTCACAGAACTCGAGCGCTGAATTTAGATCTTCAAAGATCTCAACTCCATTTACGGGTTCGAATAGCCCCACGTTCTGGAGGCTTTTTCCGACGTCTCCTCCTACATCGAGGCCCGAAATCGTCATCTGCACATTTCGTTTTCTCAGAATCCGATTGATGCGAGTGAATGCTTCTGCTGCGGAGAAGTCGATGCCATAAACGCGGGAGAAGTCCAGAATCAGAAAGCGGATAGGGCGTTTGTTGAATGCTTCCTCCTCAATAAGTCCCCTCATGGTGTTTTCCACACTCACGATGGTCCCAAAGAACAGATATCCACCAAGCTTGATGATCAGTGACTGCTGTCCTGCTTCCTTCAGGAAGCTTTGCTGAATGGGCGGCCGCCTGACTGTTGAGCCGGTAAATCTGCCAGAAAAGGTGGCGCGAATGGCGGATTTGCGTGAAGTTTGGACGACGAAGCTTAGGCATGCGAGGATGATCCCCACAAAGATACCCACCACGAAGTCCCAAGCACCCATGGTCGCAACGATTATCACAACCTGTAAAATTAGCCAAAAGGCTTGTCGAAGTTATCAGGGCGAAGCTTACCGTCAGATATTCGTGTCGATGCAATTTGCCCCACGTATCAACCAAAGCCTCCTGCATCAGTTCGATGCCCAACAGAAATATGAGCGCTCCTACAACCATTACTGGAATGAATCCGACAATAACTGGACCGATAACCATGATCCCTGCAGTAGCAGCTGCAAGCATGACTCCTGCCACACGAGAGTTGCCGCCGCTGTCAATGAACAAAAGACTGTTTGTATATACGAGGTAGTTCTGGAATAAGTCAGCATTTGACTCGCTGGAAGTTAGAACACACTCACCTGAATACTTCCAGCAAAGCCAGACAAGGCATTGGTGACACCGTGAGCAATGAGTTCACGGTCGACATTGAGATTATCTTCGCCGGTAGAGATTCCTAAAGCGGGAACATTGATGGGTACGTGAAGTACTCCGAAGAATGTGAGTGCAAACATGGCAGGTATCGTGTCAAGAAATGCAGACCAATCAACAGCAGAGAAGTCTAGAGCAGTTAGTATGACGCACACTCGCGAAGACATAGCGATCACTCACCATAGAGAGTATAAAAGTGGTACCACGGATTTGACGAAGATGGAGCATCAAACACCCACCCTTTGCCGCGCAATGTATCCATAGGTACTCTGGCACTGAATTTCACAATATAGAATACAATTGCCACGCCGATGAAATATCCACCAACCAAGAAATTGGAACGCAAGAAACGCTTCAAAACCAGAAGGCCAACCGCAAGCAACAATGGGGTCGTCCACAGAAATATCGTGTCTAGCTGCATAAGCTTTTCGAATGTTCCCAAGGTGAAATCGAAGGGGCCTGGTAATCGAGCAGACACTTCAACACCCGTGAGCAACAGGAAAAATCCTACACCACCGATGCATCCAATCAAGATGTGACGTGGGAAGAAGCCAATCAGAGCACCGAGCTTACAGGTTCCCATTAAGAAGAACACCAAGCCTGTAAGAACCGAGCTGACCGAGAAGGAGAGAATAGTCGTGGCCAACACAGCTTGCGGGTTGTCTTGACCAACCCGAGTGAGAATGGTGAAGGCCATTTGGTGAAAGAACGGGACAACCTCGATCATCTCACTCCCAATTCCTCCTTTGAAAATGGAGCCTCCACAAGAGAAGACCAACTGTGAAATGATGGTACTGACGTAGAACATTGAGATACCGTCCGAGCCCAGATCAGCAAAGACCGGCTCGCTCAGCGGGAAAAGGATCATGCCGTATGAAAGAGCGTCAAGGATATTGAGCAGAAGGCCAAGGAATACCGACGGCAGAAAGCTGAGCGGATAGACAATCCCATCTCGCCATACAGTCTGTCCGTCCCACGACTTCGGGTTCGATAGCGTACAGAAACACATCCTAAGCTTGTGAACAGCTCCAGGAAGCGCGTCTGTTTTAGTATTCCCGGAAATGCCTTGACTTTCGACGTCGCCAGTCCCTCCATAATTTTGAAAAGGTCCTGCTTGTACTGTCTTGGGCAACAAGGAGGTCTGTTCAGTAGCAGACGCACCCCCCGCTGCAACTCCTAGGGTATGATCTTCGGACACTGCACTCTCGCTAAACTCATCCCAGTCGGAGGCTCTGTCCCGGTTGTCTCGATCAGCTTCGGGGGCGTCGGGTTTGCGCATTAGCTGTGTCAGGACCGACGAACCGGTGCTGAGGACGGAGGAAGGACCGGGTTCTATATTTGTCCTTCCTTGCGCTGCGAAACTGATAGATGGAGAAGATGGGCGGTTCGGGCTTTGGGAGGATTGAAAGATATCCAAGGAAGGGGGAAGAGTATTCGATTCATGCGACAATGCAAAGGAAGCCAGTTCGGCTGTCTGCTCCCTGAGGCCATGGGTTGAATAGTGCGCCGTGTCTAAAATGTAAAGGTCAGATCTGGATACATTAAGTGATGACGAACTCCCCTCACGAAACGAAAGTCTGTGAGGTCTCTGTAGCTGCGTACCTGCTGGAGTATGGAATGACCGGTGGAAAAAAGACCGACTTGGGGTTCGGAAGCTGGTACCGCCAGATACCAGTGAATCTAGGCCGGAGGACCGGGGCGGGCTACCATGATTGGCATGTTCAACCGGGATCTCTGTTCTGTTCGAGTCTAGGTCGTCCTCCAAGGGAGAGCGATGAGGGGATACCCCGGATATGCGAAAGTCGCTGCTGTCTCGGGAGCGGAAGACACCCATCGTTGACCGCAAACGGAAGGAAGACTGTGATGAGCGATCGCCTCACACAGTCTGTCACTGGATATTCCCTGATCACCACCGGAGAGGGGGGAAAGTCAAGCCCGCAGGCTGTGAAGCTTGTGATTGTTTGGCGACAAAAAAGGCGTGAGGAGGGGGGTAGATGATAGCAGATGACGCAAGAATTTAATCGGCACAGCAGCTGTTGGCATTGCTCTGCGATTGGGGAATTGGGTGAGGGGAGGAAGATAAGAGTCAGATGTCAGAAAGGAGGAGAAATGCAGACTCCCGAAGATGGAGGCCAGAAGGGTCCGGAAGGGACTCAATGAGGCCCAGCCATGGCACCCAGGATCGTTATCAAAGCTCGCGGGCGGAGGTGACTAAAAAAGCCTTATCACCGACAAGACACTACTGTCGCCGGTCCACCATTCTGACGGGTCCGATGTCAACCGAAGGACCTTAGAGGTTTAGAAGCACGTCGCTAGCGGACTGACACGAATTGGCTCTGGGTTAGTCGGCGAGTCGGTACCTCTGAGAGGGGAAGTTTGTCGCTAGTGGCACGACTTTGCTGCAGAGAGCAAAGGAGCTTGGATGCACGAGGCCGATGATAGGCCCCGATGCTCTCCTCTGCTGCAAACACAATTAGGTAAGCACCGCCGCTGCCGTCAACGGTGCTGCAGCTACTGCGAGGCTAGAAAGTCTAGATAGACCTATTTCGTGATATATAAATTACTCTACGTAATCACTCTGATAATAGCTTGTGCTAATGGCGCGAGCGTATGCAGTTGGGGTCCGGTTCTAGGACCCTAAACCCGAAAAATTGGGATTATTGAAAACAACGCTACACTGCATATCCTAGCTAGACCGTCCTGTACTATACTCCGTTCTTGAGGCATCATTCATTGGGTATCATAAGACATAAATTGCATGATTTGAAACTCATCATCCGCCATCAACTCAGACGCTCCAAAAACCCCTGCGCGATTAGCCGTTCCACATCCCCTTGCCGCACGTAGAGTTGGCTGTTTTTCGTCAAATTGATCACCCTATATGCAATGTCAGCATTCCGATCCGCCGATCAACAATACGCGCGAGGGAAAAAAAGTAGAATCAAATGCCTCACATACCCATACTCGGTCTGAATCTCCCCCGCATCCTTCAAGACCCTCACGTCTATGAAGAGATCCTTCGGGGGCTCCAGGCTTCCCGTAAGATCAATATCCGTCCATTGTCCCTTATACGCCGCCAGAAGATCGCTATATTGCCGGAAGTACTCTTCTTCTTCCGGGCTCAACGAACTGTGGTTCCCACTCGCAGTGCCCATCGCTGCATAACCCCCGCTCCCCTGGCCTGACGCACCTGCAGCCCCTTCGTCTGCAGTCGGTAGCTGCTGTTCGAGCAAATCGACGCCATTCCAACATAGCTCCTCGAGCTTCTCGGCGCGAACACGGTGGTAGGCAAGTAGACATCGTTTGTTGCGGCGCATACAGAGGTGATCCACTAGAAGGGCACAGGCGACGGCTGGTTCTTGTGACGGATTGAAACTGCCTTCGAAAGGCCCGAGGAGGTGTGCGACATCGCGGTCGAGGTCGCGTACTTCGCGGGCTACGGAACGGACCAGTTCGGTTTGGTAGGGAGGGAGATGGGTGAGAGCCTGAGTGCGCTTGGCATGTTGCACCTATTTGTGGGTTTCGTTAGGACGAGCTATTCATGGAGCCTGGCTTGAAAGAGGAGCACATACAAGCTTATTCCCGTGTTCGCCGTACATGGCGAATGGAGATGAACTTCAGAGGAATGTTCCGGCTTTCGGGGGATGTACATGCGCCGTTGGCAGTATATAAGAGTTGTAGTGGGGATTATGCAGACCCGACAAGAATTGACTTCACACTATAAGTGTGTACAACCAATAAGTTGCTATTCAATGTTATTGAGGTCAGAGGTCAATCTGCCAGCACAGCGTCGCGCGGATCGCTAGGCCGCGCCCGATCGAAGATCTACACGTGACGGACGGCTCGCGTTCCTGCCAAGCCGCCTTCCAACGTGAGATATAGAACCCAAACTTGACATCAGCGAAGATGTTTGAACATGTGCCCTGAGCGGCTGATGCTAAGGATTGTGAGCCAGTGGAAGCTCCCTTGGTAGCCTCTTTCCATTAGCCATCTTCCAGGTTGTTGATATATGGAAGAAGCCGAGGCGCGAATTAATTAAATGAACTATACTTATTATATCTTCGATCCCCTCCCTACCCCAAAACAAATAACTAAGGCGCATCCAATGCAAATAAAACTCCACCCGACCGATCCAGCCTACAGTTGAGTAGTGCTGATGGAATCATTTTTATCTTCTATTCACTCAATGGCTTCTTGAGATATGAGTAGATAGGAGTGAGGACTGATGACTACGAACTTGGACCAACAGAACGAGAAAGCCCTCCACCGTCGAGAAAACAGCTCCGAGTTTCATTCTCTGATGAACCATTCAGAAAGCCATTCCCTGCTAAGTCCTCTGGAGACAGTATAACGACCCGGAAGATGCACATAGAAAAGAATATTATCTCCGACGAAGGTTCGATCAAGTACCCAAAAATCATGCCACCGTAGGCATTTGCAGTATTAATGGCTTTGTCCGTCACACAATGTGCCTGAAGCTTCATGAAGGAGAGAAGAAATGCCACACATAAAAGCCCAAGGGTCCTCAAAGGGATAATACATATAGTATTATCCCGGAAGCATCCTCCATTCTCGTCCGGACAGATTTCGATGTAGGAAAGCATAGAAAACCTCGACTTTCCCAGAGATATCAGTAGGAAAGAAGGCCCTTCCATACACCAGGAAATGTAACAACGGGTACTCAGCCTAATCACAAAAATGCGCTGTTACGGCCGAGAACTATGCGCCATCATCGCGCGTCTTCTGGATCATGCAAAGATCCCTAATGTCCTCTGGAACGAGTACATGCTTTCTGCCTATGGTGCCTTTACGCAAGAGGTAACATTCCATTCCCTATCAGTGTGAACCACCACCACCACTACCACCAACTAACAAGCCCCAGCCCCACGACATATCCTTCATCGTCCCAAACAGACTAATCGACGCTGCATATCGAACCCTCCAAGCAGCAGAGTTCACAACCTGTCCCGAGAGCCACATCGAAGCTTGCTCGCGCTTCCAATGTCCCGAAGACGGCATGATACCAGCAAGACACTTCCATATCGCGAGCTACTGGATTGTTCCCGCGCATACATACTACCTAAAGCTATACGGGCACGCAGAAACCCTCTTCTCATTCCCGGAACCCACTTTGAACGAACCGTCCCGACACGACAAGTACTACATGTCAACCAGAGACGAACGCCTCCCTACTCAGATCGAGCCACTGCACGACGAGAGGTTAATGCTATATGTCGAGCTCAATGAAAGAGCATATAGAGACCCATACGAGCTGGAAAGATATAAAATCAAGATCCCGAACCTCACTATGGCCATTCACGCTCTCATCCTCTTGCGCTGTCGAGACGAGGGCTATAATAGCCATTGTGATGATGACTGGTACCGCATGCTATCTTCGATTCGCTGGTATGTTGTCGGTCAGGGTAAAATGCAGATTGACAGGCTGGAAGCGGTCATCCAGCCGATTTGGGATAACTTGGAACAGCAGTATGGGAATATTTGGATAAGAGCTCTGCGGAAGAAGCTTAAGAAGGAGAGAGTCCTGCCGCTTCCTTCTGTTGATCGGAATTGTAGGTGCTTTCGCGATTTGGATGAGTGAGAGTTTTGGTAGATATGCTGAATGATATAGGCGGTTTGTTTTGCAGCCTCTTAACCAGCCCAGGGATGCTCCACTAACCCCATCCGTTAATTCAAGATACTAGTGTCGATATGAATGGTAGTCTATTTGCTAGGATAATATGAACGCCTGATACCAATTACCAAGCTTCAAGTATCGCTAAGGGTCCACCGACCAATAAGGGTCCAAAACCCCTCTCACCTAACTCCTCTTCAGGAAGTTAACAGTCAGCTCCGACTAACAACCACACACCCCCCATGAAGAGTCCCACTCTTATTCCAGGCCATATATACGTTCCTGTGACCCACAGAGATAGGCAGCCCAGTATCCGAGCAACTAGTATACATTTTGAAATCCAGTGTTAAGATCTCAAAGACTCTGACCCCCATGTACATCTGCATTTACGGCATAAATCTCAGCATATAAATACCTAGAAGTCCCTCTCATATGTTGGGAACATCTCCAAGAGCTACTAGCAAACACCGCCCGGCCGACGAAGCGAAGCCGCTTCCATGTCCTTAAGCAATCATGTATCCAAACTAGAACAATGTTTCATAAGATGGGGTAGCAGACAATAGAATGAGACAATAAAAAGGCTGGATAGAAACAGGTCCAGGTGATCCTCTGACATTGTTACACAGCCCCTATTGAACTGTTTCAACAACTAATAGTAATGAGGTAAGTAAAACAACTGAAGCTGAAAGGAAGCATTCACATGCCCTCACCTTGGGGGTTTCTATTTCAGATAGTGATGTTAAATGACCGAGAACAAAGAAATACAGATATAGTAAGTAGCTGGCGGAAGATGAAACAAGGGGCTTGAATGGGGATATATTGAAAGGAAGACTTATTAGGTAGAAGAACTGAAGGGTGAATAAGTGTCTTGGAACAATTGCTTAGTGTGCTTGGAGTGTAGGATCAGGGTTGTGTTTGGTTACACACTCATTGTAGAGGAAAGGAGTCAATAAAATGGTGTGTTTAGAGTCTGTATATTCACCGAGACTGTTACTGGAATAAAGAAGAATAAGAAAATTCCTTTCAATAGTCACTATGCAAGAGACAATGTAAATGCTATTCATAGACTAATAACACACCGTGATGTCTCAGATATGTCCAGTTCTTAGAAAAATATCAGGTGGTCCAATGCATGCCGATGAAGTTCAGCATACTGAGGAACGCCTTGAAATCTTCAGTGATAGGGAGAAAGAAATTAAAACAAAAATTTGATTGAAAGTGGTGGTATCCTCCTGTTATCATGCAATGCCCAATTGATCTAATGCATCAAATCCCGTAAGTACCATGAGATATGCACAAGAGTGCCAACAAAACTGCCTCCCACAAAGCACATTTCCATATCCATATCAATATCCGTGTCCTAAAGCATGCCCCATGACCAAAAAGAAAGAACCGAAAGTTAGAACCCAGATAAACAGCGAACGTGAACGAACTTGAGACCGATGACCCCGACAACAGAGCGCCGGGCCACACTTAAGAAAAATACCCACGCCTTCAACAATAACTCCGCTCCGAAAGGTAAGAAACAACAGAGTAAACGTCCATCCCAGGTCACAAAACGAGACGAAAATTATAAAAAAGAAAAGAAAAAAAAATTAGATCGACTTGTATGTGATAGCAGATAAACTGGTGGAGCGTGTTTTGAACGTTCCATGATTACTGTGTTCGAGATAAGGATTTAGTATGTCGTGCCCTGCTGGTTGATCCAGGTGTCAAAATCGCCACTGGTACCATCAAGAGCAGGGTCGGTTTCTAGGGTGTGTATTCCCTGTGAGTAAGTCGTCGCGGTATAAGGGATTGAATAAGGTGCCAAGGAAGACGAGGGAGAGGTGTAGCAGTTGACATTGGAAGAGTCTTGCCACATATTGTGAGAGCTGCCAAAGAGCTGGTTCGGGCTCTGGAGCTCGGTCTGCAGGGCCAGGAGCTGGGGATCCAGTTGTCCATCACCGGGCAACGAGGTGGACGGTTGAAGAAGGTCATGATGTGTGGCGCCGGGTAGAGCAGCCAGTGGAGTGGATGAGGACGTAGCATATTGAATCCCATGCAAGCCAGTCTTCTTGAATCGGACATCCTCTACGTGAGGGATAAGCCCTGCATGAATTGTCTGGTGGAGGTAGTGAGACGGCTCAGAGGAGGGAATCATGCCAGGGTGCGGCCGCCCATGGTTGGCTGCATGCCAGGCAGATGAAGATAGGTAGGTGTCCCCAGGTAGATGTAAACCATGGTCAGCAAAGTCAAACGGGGTCGAGTCCCGACTTTCCCAGCCACTACTATCAATTTCTGAAGAGCTCGCGGCACGATTTTGAAGAAAATCTGAAGTGGATCCAGGGGTGCTGGCCAGGGGACGCTCATCTTCGCTCCCAGCTCGTTTCTTCTTATCTTTCGACGGCGAGAACTTGTAACCAGGATGCGCCTTGAGGTGGTTGCTCTTCTCGATATTGGCCAGAAGCTCGTACTTCTGACGGATTTCTGGGGACTCAAGCCTCCAGCTGTCACCCGCTGCTTCGGAAACAACTTGATGATTGTTCTGCGCAAACCATTGCTTTGTCCGGTCCGCATATGCCGATCGATAAAGCATGAAAGAGTTCATGGGCCTGGCAACCTTTCCGTTCCTCTTGGCTACCTCTTGGTGACGAACCTCTATTGACCGATTCACCCAGCGTTCCATGTCTCGAATAGGGATGTTTGTCAAATGCTTGGTCACTTCACTCAGAGGGCCTTCGAGCTCGACTCTTGTGTCCTTCCTATTTCTATTTCTGCGACGCACTCTAGGCGACCTGGCCACCCTTGCCCTCGTCACCTGTCTCTGGGACGGCGGCGAGCTCCAGCGTGGTACCGATTCTGAAACTAGGCCCTCGTCTGCAGCAGGGGGAGGCGTGTTAGCCTGAAGGCCATTTGTTGCCATCTAAGACTTAATCAGTACTACGGCTCACCTTAGAGACCTGGAAAGTCCAGTATTGGCAAGAC